GTGAAGCCGTCAATTTCATAATACAAGAGATCCCGTTGTCCAAGTGTCGTATAAAATGAAAGAAGGTTGAAGTGTCAAAACCAAACAAAAACAAGTTTATAGAAGAAAAAAAATACTAATTGAAAAACTTAAATTCTAAATATATATAACCAGTCGTCTTGAATCACAAAAATATCTATTACTGGAGAGCAGGTAAGAAGACGGTCAGGGCTTTTGATAAAATAACCGTATGGTGTTGCTATTAAAAGGCTATGCACTGCACACCCGGTGACATTATACAATTTAAAGCTCACCGAACCGTCTTTTTATGTGCCCACTAGTTGAAGAAACTAAAAATAATACTAAATAAATATGTTACAAGTACAGAAAAAAAGTATCAAAATATACATGACTATGATTTTTATATTGACAACACTATACTTATAGCAATAATTTACTTATTGGCTCCTCGAAAAACACCACACATTGGAAACTATTTCTGCAACAGCGGAATATGTATATGAAAACAATTCCAAAAAAATCAAATGGTACCTTTTAATGGGTGAGATTTCAATGCCACATTGAAGCCAACCTGCAAACTGAATGAACCTTCATTTGGTATAATTTTGATCACAACACGTTCATAACGAAAATTCCTAACAGATTTTTTGCAAAAATCCCATTTGAGGGCTGTTGGAAGAAAAAAATCTTTTTCAAACACTATACTTGGTATAGTCTGTATGAGCCAACAGTATGTGTGCAAGCAAAATTCTAGCCAGCTAGGTACAATTCATAACATACATTTTTTCTGGGCTACAAAACAAGGTGTAACTTGGGGAAAATATGTAATGTTTGTTTTACAGGGTGTTTAAAAGACACTGGACACTTTTAGTAAAAAAGATAATTTTTATTTATAAATAGTAACAATGTTTTTTTTAGTTTTTTTGTTTCCAGACATTCTAAACACCCTGTGTGTATTTTTGATTGTATGGCTTGATAAAACTGAAAATGAAATATCCAACAAATAAATATAGCAATATACTGGCTTACTTTATTAAAGTATTAGTAAGTAAATATAGAAGGTAGTCAACTAACCTATTGTATGAAAAATAAAGTTGTATGCGATTCTGAGCTAGAAATACAACTGGGGGTATCACTGAATGAGAGAATAGAGAGACAATGGCCACACAACCAAAATCAAAATCCCACTTTTCGGGTCAATAAAATCCCATATTATCTCGCATAATTTTGTAAATAAATCTATTATCCCGAGCGGTCATATCATGTTAAAAAAATAGCTCTTTAAACCTTGCTATAGTTCTTAACTGCAATTATTCAATTCAATAGGGTATAATTTTGATCTAAAAATAATTAAAAAAAATAAAGGCCAGAGACAAGAATACCGTCTTATTCCACATCCCGTTGTTGTTGGCCCAAAAATCCCTTTTCAGGATAAAAATATGGCATGTGGAAACACTGCTTAGTAAATTGGAACTAAGAGAATAGGGGATTATGGGATTGTAATGAAGCCATAGCTAATGAGCTGGTTGATTCCTTTAATTTTATTTTTATTTTTTTATAGAGGTTGGCAGCCTCCTTTAACCTTGCATTTGTCTGTCCACATAGACTAACTGCCCGTGCGTGGATCGTATACAGCAAAGCAAGGGGTGAGCTGGTACAACATGTTTACGGCAGTGACTAAGATCCGAACCCTCGACATCACTGCCTTGGGCCCAAAGTCTGTGACGCTACCAACTGACCTAAATGTTACAGCATGTCGATTTTCTAGCTCAGTGGTGTGACGGGGAAAAGAGTTCTTAATCTTGCAAGCCACTGTTTGCGATGAGTGATGGGTTGAAATTCACAGATTTCATTGCACAATTATTTATAAATTGGTTCTAAAAAATTTTTTGCTTTATAAATTACATACTTTTTAAAACATACTTCAAATAATCTATTAAGTAATATAAGCCTACTAAAAATAAATATGAGGAATACTGTAACAATACGTCAACAGAAGAGAGTAGTACAGTCGAATAACAAGTTGTTTTATATAATCGTCATGGGAAATGTCTGTAACAATCTATTAGATAAGGATCATTTGCCATCAATCATTAGACTTCAACCATTAAGCATTGATTGAAACTGAGGTTTAAATAAAAAAATATATATTTTGTAAGTTTGTAAAACAAGAACATTTGGTAAATCAAGGTGCTATTAACAGCGTTTTGAGGTTATTTGTATCACAGAGAAGTGAGGTACAGAGTAAACTTGCTAATAGACGTCCGTGCGCTTTAAGCTCTAGTAAGTTGTGCCGGAAACATACTTTTGACGAGCAAGGACCGAGAATGTATGCATTGTAGTATATGAAGGCAAGGGGAGAGATGAACATTGCGCTAGACACCACTTAAGTGAATGTTTCCTCTGTACCTTATTTCTCTGTGTTCCTAACAGTTGGTCATTGTGGACATATGAGCAGTTTTAGTCCTACAATGGACCAAATATGACTTCCTCAAAAATAGGCTGGGTGCACATTCGGATTGAGCAAATCTGGACTGTCATGGCTAAACTGCTTGAGTTGAAAAATTGTGCAAAGAGTATAAAGCTGGTAACAAAAATCCAGTGGTTTGAGAAATTTTAATTTTGACCTTAAGGCTGGAGTAGTTGTAGGAAATCAAGTGACAGTTCGAGACTGGGTTCCATTGGATCACTTTCATAAGGCCCAAAGCTTGTATTTTAATAATAATAATGTAAGACTAAATTACTTACGTATTCCCGTCACAGCTCAATAACAATTTTATTGATGAGCTGTGACGGGAATACATAAGTTGAAAAAGTACTGGCAAAAATGAATTCGGGTGTGTCTACTCTCAGGACATTAACAAATATTTGTGATCTGACAACTCTCAAAATGGTCTATTACGGTACGATTCATTCTCATTTAGCCTACAATATACATGTTTATGGAGCAACCAATATTAATAATCTGAATGAGATATTAAAACTACAAAAGAAATCAATCAGAATAATGCTAAATATGGAACAAACTGACCATGTTAAAGAAAATTTTAAAGAATTATGATGGTATTTTATTTTTAGTCTTTATGTATGTGAAACTAACTACTCAAAACAAAATCAAGAGGAATTTGAGACTGGTCAGTTGATCCACCATTATAATACAAGAAACAATAACAAAAATAAGATTGCAAAGTCACCGATTAAAAATGTTTGAGAAAAAGCCAAATTATATAGGATCTAAATTTTTAAACAAAATTTCTACCATAATAGACACAAATCAAGAGTTTTCAAAATTTAAGAGAAAATTAAAAGAACACCTAGTTGAGAGAGCATTATAGGCCTACTCACTAGATGAGTTTTAAAATAACTAACGGCCTTAAATTTAATATTTGCCAACAGAAATGATGGTGTTTTGAACATTATTGTACTTATTGACAGAAATTGTATTATAAGGATTAGTTTTAAGAAATGACACATGTTCAATGTACTTACGCTACAAAACAATGAATAAAGAATGTTTTGACTTTGACTTAAGTAATTTAGTCTTACTTTATGTCCAACAGCTCAGGGGCTACACACATGGATTTCTATAATAATAGTTATTATAACATTATTATTGCCACATAGACCAAGTTTAGAGTCTGTTCAATAATAAGAACAATTAGTACACAAGGTCCAAAAATAAATGGTACAGAAGTTCCAAAAGTAGGAATAATTTTAATTAGGTCTCAGTTTGAATACAAATATCCTGGTTGTGAGAAATGTTTGATTTCTATTTTTGTTTTTTTAATTGTACATTGACAAAAGTATCCAAAACTTGTGTTGGCAAAAATATGGTGGTACACGGCAAACTACGTTCCAAAGTCACATAAGATAGTGTAATGACTGAGTAGGTCTAGTTATGAAAGAAGCACAGAGGCTTAGAGCAGATTACAACTGAGATAAATAAAATAGCCTAAAAATTAGTTTGGGTTTAATATCGCACAATTATAAAAAAGACAAGAAATTAAACATTTATCACAATCAAGATTTTAGAACAAAGCATTTTTTGATATAATGTTAATGATTTAATCCCACGATTATCCACGATTATAGTGCAGAGCAGTTTTCCAATATTATGTCAAGTTAAAAAAATCAAGCTATGATGATAAAATGAAAATGCATGCAGAGAGATTGATTACAAATAACAAGTTACAGTACATCACAAAAGAAAATAGATAGCAAGGAACGTTGATGGTCATGGCGTGTACTCAAACACCTTCAATCTGGGATATGAAATTATTCCTACTTTTGGACCCTCTGTACCATTTATTTTTGGATCTTGTAAACTAAAAATAACCTTTGGGCCTTGTGAAATAAAAAAATAATAACTAACTTAACAGGGTCCAAAGTTCAAAGGACAGTCTTTCTACAAGTTAATTTCAAAAAGTAAATGTTTACTTCTGGCAATGGCTGTATTCTTAGACCTTGTACTGAAATATAAGCTTTGGGCCTAGTGAAATGCTCCCATTCAATAAATTAATGGAATTACAGGTTCAAAAAGTTGGCACCTGGCCCACAACAGTGCTGTAGGTAGCACAGCTGTAGGCTGAACAGGCCTTCTGTTTGGTTTTTTGGAATGATAGTAAAACTAACCAATAACTTAGTGATTTTTAAATAGTAACAACTATCCTCAAGGGTCTTTTTGGAGTGATACAGATTTGTAAAATTAAGAGCTTTTTCACTTTATCAAGAAATATGATGTGAAACAATACAAACAGATCAAAAATAAGTAAGATTTCTCAGTTATTTTCCATGTGCTAAATGGAATTTAGTTCTACTAATTATCCTGAACATTTGCCTACAAGCTGTGAATTGAAAAAATTCAATTCTGTGAACTAAATATCAAACTTGACAATTTTCTTCAATGTTTTTAAATTCGTAGCAAATATCTTTTTTCAAAATTCAGGACGTTAGGAGCGTTGTCTCTCAGGTCTCATTCAACCCATGAAATAAAGACAAAGTCATTAAAACAATTCAGTTTATAGTTATTTAAATTAATCGTGTAGTTTCACTGTTGTTATGTTAACTTTGACTCTACATATGAAATAAATACCAGGTAATTTATGCTCAAATTCTTAGGACTAGTCTCCTAATAGATTATGTAAAAACATTGTGATATGACAAAATAAAAATAGTTCATTACTAACCAATATTATGAGAATTCAATTCCTTTTTACTGTGAAAATATATTAACAATATGTTCTCAAATCAACGTGCTTAAATCATTATTATGTTCGAGAATTTCCATTAAACCGTCGATAATTAAATATTTGTGTCAACAACTTTTCTATAATTAAATTATCATGATAAAACTACTATAGATTTTGGTTTTATGTTTCTAACAATTCGTACCCAACGTTCAACTTAAGTCACGAATAAAATGACAAAATATTAAAACCACTTGCAAACTGCAAACCTTGATGAAAAGTACCTCTTTTGGCTTTAGCAGACAAATGTTTCCAAGTGTTCTTTGGTGATAGTTTGTTTTTCCAGGAACCGCTTACACAGTTGTTTCACTCACAGAGTGTCCTCTTATCACTTTGTACCATTCAGAATCAGGTGTTATCACTCTGCTTTCTCTAATTTAGCGAGACGACCTCGCTTAGGCGGGGGCTCCCTCTCCTCTTGATCGTCCGACTGAAACCAATCACAAAAATATTAGCCATATGAAAGTAAAAGTGTTATTTACTGAAAATATTCTTAGAACTGTATTTATTGGTTAAAATTTATTGTTTGCTGTTGTTGAGAGTGTAAAGCCATCTAGTCAGTGCAAAGATATTACTGGCTCTTTTGGCTAGTAGAACAATTGGAAAGTAGAGTAAAAAAATATAAATAAATACAAGGTCTGCTTACAAGCTGCTTCCACACCTATGATATAGTTTATCCAAACTGTGCTTGACCCACAAATTTTGACCACTAGGTGACGTGCAGATGTACATAAATAAAAGGTCAACTGAAGTACTCACATCTACTTCCATATGTGGTAGGTGTATTCTTGAGTCGGATGCAGAAGCAGGCTGAAACAACATGATTCTATAAACCAAAGATTAAATTCTTTGCAATACAGTATATACAATGTTCATTAGTCTGATAGTATTTATCTAATTTTGTTGCACTTGTAGGTTTCGTATTCCAGGGAGAGAGGGGGGGGGGAGGAGGAGGGTTTAAATACCTTAATGGAAATGGACAAGCAAAGATTACATATGCTACGCAAAATAGATATTGCAGCCAAGCCATTTTTGTGATATCAATTTTCATGCGAAGCCTAGCGAATGTCTTCACAACCTTCATTGCCGACATGACCAGCTGTTATTTACGTATTTCTTGTTGTTGTTTGTTGTTATGGTTAACCTTTATCCGTGGTTGTTTGCTTATGTAAGTAACCGGAGGTTTGTTAGAAGATGGATTAGCAAGAGTGAAGAAGTGTTAGTATTATGTGTAGTGAATTACAATTGTATTATGATGTGAATATTTCCATGAACAATACCAGGTATTAAGACGAGTGTATGTGATAAATGGCAAACACGGCAATCAAAAAACGGAAAGACCTTCCCGACACTGCTTTACATTCAAGTTTAGTGTGTGAACTGCATTTTTAACCTAACTGCTTTATAAATAATATGAGGAGTAAAAAGGAAGCTGTACCAACATGACTAGTTATGTACTAACAAACTATGGATGTACACCAGTTGTCACTCAGCAGTCTGCACTCATTACTGCCTCTACAGACGATCACCACCGTCTCGCGGCAGCCCCTTCGTCACATAGCGATGAATTCACCAGTATTTCTACTGTCAATGTTTCATTATCTTTAGAGTCTGCCTAAAAACAGTTATGATAGAGTTCCGAAATATATTATTAACTACCTTCATCATACTATTATGCAATAATTTGTAATTTATTGTCAATTAAAAATAGACGTACGTTGTGGTTTAAGTGTTTATCAACGAAGACCACTAAGATGGAAATAAAGTATCCTAGGCTATATATTTATGGGGTTCAATTTTGGAGAGGGGTGGTTAGGCAATTTCTGCTCCAGGGCGCTCCAATCCAAACCTGGCTACGCCAATACAATGCCTTAATGTTGATTCAGGAACTTACTGGGAAGGCGAGAGTGTGACTGACCTCCAATTTCCAATCTAAATATCGTTTATACGTGGTAAAGATAACCTCTTTAATTTATATACAACTAAGGTTCCGCTGTTTCTAAAACTATGGGTTTTTAAATTTATTTTATATAGTCGTCAGTTGAAAGATTTGTTACATAAAACAATCCAAATCAAAAATCTATGTTTTGTATCTTATGCTCTACATTTTCTTCAAAGCTCAGTTGCAAACTGCACTTATGAAACACCAAGACGAGATAATACGTAGTTTGAAAACAAATGCCGATCTGTGTAGATAAATGTTCTTCCTACAAACTATGTGTATATTGCTATGTTTAAAAAGGTCAAGTAGCCAGTGAATGGTTAGGTAGTAGTTGACTAACCATACATTTCTCATCGTGAGTTAGTAGCAAGATATTGCGCTAGTCTAGAAATCCGGAAGCAAACTTTGTGGATAAAAATTCCGAAATAAGAAAAGTCGACGAACTCACAAATAGTCCCTGATTAGGATTTATACATTTCTAAATTGATAAGGGTTCTCTAAATGTAAGTTAAAATTCAATGCAGAAAAACTAGTATAACATTGTAAGCTTATTATACCACTGTGACTGCTATTTTTGAAGATTTTTATTAATTCATGTTTATATCAGTAAACCTTTAGTATCCTTTAGCTCTTTGTTACGTGGTCACTTTCATTTTAAATTAAATAAATGCCCTTTTTGTAAAAAGATAAAGTTATGGTACATTAATGACAGCTGTGCACTTTCACACTACAGTAGATACAATGACGACGGGTCGGCGAGTGCGTTGCGTACAGGCAAGTTAATCCCTAGCACGCGAACATTACCGAACTCACCCGGGGAACTTAAATGGTAATGCAGATCGAGACTTGACACAGCGCCTCTGTTGAGGGACCACCCAACTACGTGAAGGTGGCCCCATCCAAAAACTACTTGGCACAAAATTGCCATAAGGTGCAATATCTATTTTGCGTAGCATATGTAATCTTTGGTACAAGGCATGCAGTGTACCCAAATGAATGGGATATACAATAACCCTTCAGAACTAAGTAGAAGGGAACTCGACCAATACTTTTTAAATGGGTAGTCATCAAACAGATACATTGCACCGACGTCCAAAATATAATTTTTTAGCTGTTTCTTGACTTCCAATATAAAATATACACTGCTGCACGAAGTCCAAATCTCACGATGTCCAAAAGTACAGTAACTCCAAGAAACAGTCTTTCTAAAAGCTCTGGACGTAATGAGATTGGTTGTCGTGAAACAGCGCACTGAACACTCTTAAAAAAAGTAGCAGTTGCATGATATCTAATAGCTCAGCACTGTCCCACGACGTCCAGAGCGCCTGCACACTGTGAGTACTGTTTTACCATATGTAGTGCATACTAACCTATCTTAACCTAATCTAACCTTGCTCCGTATGAGCAAGGAGGTGCTACTGCTAAGTTTGTAAGAGTATAAAGTGCTCTGTTGCACGACCAATCCCATGACGTCCAAAGCTTCTAGACAAAACTATGTTTCTTGCAGTACTGTACTTTTGAATGAGATTTAGTAGACGTCGTGCAACAGTTGAATAGTTATATTGAACACCTTGAGACAGCTCAAAAATTATATTTTGGACGTCGTGACACTTATTGAACTTTGTATCATTTGGACGTTGTGCAACACTCCCTTTCAAATAGCTTCAGAAATTTATAGAGGGGCTGATATAACTGCCCTAAAACAGAAAGTATTACCAAAGAGGTGTCCTGATGGAATGATAGAAGATACAGCAAGCTGATTAAGAACTGGTGGCTAAAACGTCTTACAAGTTACAACTGAGAAACAGATTTAGAGTAAAATATTGCAAGATGTACACAACACCAGTAATAGAATATTTCATAACATTCACAAATTTATGAGTTAGACCTACCAATGCATCAATAGGTTGACTTAAGGTAGACACAACTTCCTCCTCCTCGTTAAGCAGCTTGTAAACAAACAAATCATGATAATATTTACACACACCTATTTGAAGTATCCTTAAGTTTTTACTCGTAGGCTAGCCACATTTTTTTACTACTAACATTTACTTGAGGCACCAGCGTAGACAGTCCATCTTTTTCCAAAGAGAATATGGTTTATTAAATTTTACATAATGAGCTATTACCCAAACATTTATTTTCTCTCTTAATTTTGGACACTAAGATGATTAAGATTGGAAGTCTAGTAACATCTGGAGTCACAGATACTACTCTAAGCAATACAAAATCAATCAACAAAACACATTGGATTTTTCAATAGTGTTTGATTTTTCGTTAAACTTTTTTCGGGCCAGAAATATCATTATGTTAATTATTGTTTTAAATACATCCATCAATATCTGCCTTAACTACTTTTTGTGTGGACAAGAAATCAAAACATAGAAAACTCTTTGCTTGGACAGCAACAAATATAACCAAACATTGCCATTTTTCGGTGATATGACGTACCTTGACATCGTGCTCGTTGGTGTCTGAAGGCTCTGGCGGAGGTTTGCGACCTCTGGTGGTTTTCCTCACTGGCCGCTCTGTCGTTGACATGTGTACACTCGCATTGGTCAATCCTTTCCTTCCGTTGCCGCTCATCTGACAACAGTACACAACTAACTTAGACACAACACAAGCAAATTCAAAAAAAGACCATTAATTTTGTAGAAAACCCAAAGTTGAATCTCTATAATCCAGCTGGGGAATAGTCCAGGGGCTATCCAACTAGTAGTGTTAAGTCTTACAAGATAGAAACTCAGGCAACAAATGAAAACCATCCGAAGCTACATGATTATTACTTATTATTATACATTAGCTACATTATTATTATTACAGCAGCCTGGAGAGATTTGAGTTTGTTGGTTTTATGCATGAAAGTGTATTAATTACCATTAGCTCTGGAGGAATGTAGACCTTGGTGTTGACAAAGTTTGGATCTTCGTTTTTCTTGAAGTACATAGGTGATATTCTCGCCTCTGCAGGGAAATCTTTAAACTCAAAGTTCACGGTTTTTTGAGCCAATAAGTCCATGGACAAATCACATAAGGCCCAGAGTTTCTAAAAAAAGAACATGCAGACCAACGTTACAAAATTAAAATTTTATCAAAGCCAACTTTAGTAAGCAGTAATGTGCATACAATATACATATAGTAAAATTATTAAACAGAAAACAATGTAAATTTTATTAAAAAAATATAATGTTTTAAATTTAAATGTAGGCTATTTTTTTTTATTTCTTACTTAAAATCCATGATAAGATAAGAGACATGGGAAATAACAGTTGCATGTCAGAGAAAAGGCCTAACTTGATTGAAATCATTTTAAGACTTGTTGCCACACACCAATCAATGATTGGTGCTTCAATTTGTACCATTGTATATTCTTGAGGTATTTACAAGTCTTTTAAAATAAACACTTACACAATTGACATTGTTATCCTCAGGCTTGACGGCATCATTGAGGTTCTTCATTTTGTCAATGAGCTCCTTATAGAAGCCGTAGCAGTACGAGTCATTCTTCTGTATGAGAGGCTCCAGTATAAACCACAACACTGTCCGTAGCCTGGTGAGCTCTTCTACGTCCTCGTGACTGGTGTAGAGAGGGCAGTGGACCAGGATGGGCAAGGCAAACACCAACATGTAGTCTGGTAGAATGTGAGGCAGCTGGCTCATCGCTTTATCTATACTGCCTGGAAAATCATCACCGATCTTGTTAATGAATAGTCATTTATTCCATCTCTAAACAATACAATATTGTGATTGATTTGTCGTATAACTGTTGGTATACTAACGACCAGCCTACTCGAGGAGAAGCATGTCTTGACAATGCTTTTACAAACCTTTGTGGATCGGACTTCAAGTGCTCCGTTGTTCATCCGCACATTACTGACCAAGAGGAGCTTGAGTTGATTGAGTTGATTCAGGTTGAAGGTAAACCAATATGAATGAAATGAAATGAAATGTTTATTCGTCACATAAATTTACAAGATTGTGATTTTCACATATAAACATAGGCTATGACATGTCAATACTACTTTTCTATCTAATAATACCTTATGCTAAATTCTTTGTTTTTATCAATCCATTAAACCTAAAGCTAAGTTTTTATAAAATCATCTAGGGAATAAGGACACAAGAGAATGAGATAAGATTTTAGTTTTCTTTTAAAGGATAACATATTTTCTTCAGTTTTAATTTGATCTGAGAGGTTATTGTAAATTTTCCTACCCATGTACCATGGCGATCCTTCATACAGAGCTGTTCTATGCACAGGATATTGAAGATCATTCCTGTGTCGGGTGTTATATTGATGAGTGTAATTTTTCAACATAAATTCCGTATAATTTCTTTTTACAAAGATGCACGGTTGAAAAATATAAACTGCATAAATTGTCAAGAGTTTCATCTGAATAAAAAGGGGGCGGCAAGAGGAACGTGGTCTGGTATCAGCTAAAATTCTAACGGCAATTTTTTGTAAGATAATAATATTCTTGGTAATGGGGGAGCTGCCCCATGAGATAATACCATAGGAAGACCTGGACATAAAATAAGAATGATACACTGCAAGAGCTGCATGCAAACCAGAAGACTTATAAACCACCCTTAGTTAATAAATAAAATAGTAAGTATATAATAATAAATAATAAAAGTTACAATAAAAAGTAGGCTTACTAAGGCTGTATCATTCAGAAACACATCTGTGGCAAGGTTGAATGATTTGAATAATTGTTTGTCGGAAATTGATTGGATTAACTTACATTCAGACATTAAGAGGAATGAAGATAAAATGTTTGAAACCTTTTGTGACAAATTTTTTGAAGCCTTCAACTATTGCCGTCCTATGTAAACTCTTACAAAGAAAGCAGAAACTGCTAAATTTACACTGTGTCTAGGCCTATGTCTAATGTTTGTCGTTTTCATGTTTTTACAATTAATTTAATGCAGCCTAATCTCAATCTGTAAAATTAATTATACCTACTGTGATATTATTCTGTGTATTAGTGAGTTTAAGAAGACTGGAAAACTGAATGGAGATCCTTTCAGTTTACTCTTCAGAATGTTAAAATATGTTGGTCTGAAGGATAGTTACAATTTTTTTTGTATAAAGCTATTAGGGATGGTCAAGTCTCGAAATTTTGGGAAATTTTCGGGAAATTTTAAATCTCGTTACACGAGACGAGATTTCTTTTTGGCCGAGATTTTTATCGAGACGAGAATTAAAAAAAAAAAAAAAAAATTAAAAACGCCTGCAGAAAGTCAATGCAATACCCGCAATACAGGAGCGTGTTGTAGTTGCGTTTCCTTTGCGAAGGCGTTCTTATTTAATTAATTCTTTAAATGTAAATATTACTTTAATTATTTTAATAATATTACTTTAATAACATTTGAGAAGTTTTGTTAAGTGTAAGCAGTGTGAGGAATGTTTTATTACTATAAAAAGTCAAAACAAGTAACTATTTTATAAAAATTAATATTGCTTTTATTTTATGATTTATTTTATTTTAGGATAAGTTGAACTCTATCCTAACTGATATCACTATGTTTCCTAATCGTAGGCATTTTTAATAAGTTAGGTGTGATTAATAAAAAATGTTATGCTGATGTTTTTTAATAAAAGATTGTAAATATTCTTGCCTATTATCATTATTTTTGTATTTAAACAGTCATCTAACAATGTTACAAAATCAGGTAAAAATTTTGAACGTGCATTTCCCGTTGTGTATGAGAAGGGAAATCCCGTCTCGATCTCGTCTCGAAATTTTATGAGAAATAAAAAAATCTCGTCTCGTCTCGTCTCGAACTAAAAATCCAATCTCGTCCATCCCTAAAAGCTATCGAATCCATCAAATTTGTGAATATGCTTGATCACACCCATCACTAACGCACCGAAGTCCGAACCACTATACCCTGTATGCTCAGGGAGTTTTATTAAAATCAGTTGAAAACCACGTGTGATATAATTTAAAAACTAGGACAATTAAGAAAATTCCTCAACTCCATGCATAACTAGAAAACGTACACAAAAGAGTCAAAATTCTAATCTAATAGTGCAGACAATCATCTAAGCAATGAAATTCATCGTTCATTCAGTTTAAAAAAATTGTTAGTTTTATAGTCACTGTTGGAATAGGCTACATCATATGAACCGTACATTCTATATGAATTCAAGGCATTTAATAATTCAACTCACAAGCAGAAGAGCCCATTGTAAGAGTCTTGGCGTACTCTCTCCTCTTGTTAATGTCGAGGAACATAAAACTTTTGGCGGCCGATCGGAGTCGTTTGTCTTGTTCAAAACCAGACAAGACGTAGAACCCCATGAAGTCCAACGGCAGGCACTTGTTGGGTAAACCTCGTCCTAGCCCTTTATGCAACTTTATCATCATTGTTTCCCTGACTTGGGGTACCTCATCCTGCAAGTTTAACATGTTATTATTTTAAAATAGTTTTTCAACGATACATTTTATTTTAAAGTACATCATCATCTGACAAAATACCTGTTCTTATACAGTACACTCCTGATTATCGGAACCTTTAGGTCAGGGGTCTCCAACCTTTTTTACTTAAGGGACACATTGTCATATTTTGGAGGAATGGCGGGCCGGACTGTCAATATTTCAGTGCAAAAAGGTAGCCCCCCTCCAATTATCTAAAAAAGGTAGCCCCCTCCAATTACCTAAAAAATTGGAAGTTTACTGTATATGGATTGTACATTATGAAGAACGTTTTGTGTAAATAAAATATGTCCATGTCTATGTATTATTAGGTAGAGACTAGTAACATCATGAATTTTCAATTGATTCACTTACACGATTGTGAAAATATTACAAGAATTAAGGCTCGGCTCGGTAATCAAGCCACTCGCACACCTCTGATATAAATAACCCGTCTGGGGCTTGGCCCGAAAATTAATTCCGGCAACGACCCGAGCCCATTGGGAATCAGCAGACCCCTGATGACTAGTTAACAAAACCAAAAATTGGATTATGCGCCCTGGCTCGTAAAATATTGCAATTTGTTTTTACCGACCTTGTTATGAGAGCAGATCGGTTTATTTGTAACTTTTATATTGTCAAAAGTTAAGGAAAAAAGGATACAAGTTTAGCTTGTGTTGTAAATAATGCACGCATGGCTTCAGAATAATAATTATAATAATTCCAAATGAATATTACTTCATTTTTTTTTTTTTACTTTTAAGGAATTGCCCGTTTTAACCGACCTTTTGAATTATACGACCAAGATCTGGTCCCGTTACGGTCTACTGTAATATGAAATGTAGGAAATTCAATCTATTGAATTGGGGTCTATTGTTCTCTATAACTGTTTGTTTTTATTTACTTACAATCATAAGGTGAGACAGGATGTAGAACTGTTCAGGAGAGAACTGGTCTCCTACACCTTTCTGTTCACAGATCTTCAACATGGCACAACCTGCAGCCAGCCTCAGCCACGACATCTCAGCTTTGCTGTATCAATGACAAATCAGATCACAATTAACATCACAACACACTCCCAATTATAATTGTTAGGTATCCAACACAGATCTTTCTGTATTAGACAATGGCAATATACCATGGTGGAGGGAAAATACATAGGTGTGCAACTCCCGTCATATACTGACGTCACCCAGATTGCAAACAAAAAATCACCTGATTGTATTGCCATATAAGTATAATATATTTGTTTTGATTTGATTGTTATTGTTTACATAATTTTTTCTAAACAGTGAAATGGTGTTTGCAATCTGGGTGATGTCAGCATATGACAGGAATAGCACACCTATGTATTTTCCTTCCACCATGGCAAGATACTATTTAAATACTGCTTGTATCTAGGGGTGTGCGATGCAGCATATTTTTTTCGATTCGATGCATCGATGCGATTCAAAGAATTTCGATTCGAATCGATGCGATTCGATTCGATGCAGCACAGCATGATTTTCTTCAAAAATTAAATACAACATGTGTTTCTGTAATGGATCCTTTACCTTAAAAAAAGTTAAAGTAAAAAATTTACTAAATAAAATTATGAACAAGAGGATAGTTGCTGACCTAACCTCATTAATGGACACTGCTAATTTTATGGTTGGCCTAAGGAAATTCACCCTTCACTAACAATTAGAATAAGCCTATATATCAATAAAGCAATCGTTAAGTTTATTATTATTGACCTGTATTAAATAAAATAGAGTTTATTTTATGATGTACGGTAGTATTGTTACTTAGTTTTCACATTTATATTTGTTGGCTTTCAATACTTCTGGTTCATTCTTAAATCAGCACGAACCAAAAAAGTTGATTATCAGTGTTTACTGTCTATTTTAGTGATGGTCGGATCCGGATATCGGACTACCGGATCCGCCGGATCTGAGCTAGAACCGACGCCCGATCGTATAAAAAAAAAATCGGATCTTGCGCTGGATCCGGTTTTAATGGATCCAATTTTATTTACTATTAACACAAAATGGACGAGTATTCGAGATTTTGAGTTTGAGTAAAGTACAATATAGAAATAAGCAAGAGGTAGTTGTCCTAACCTATTTTTATAGCTGTTACGACAGAATAGGTCAACTCAAAGCAGTCGCCGGCGACTGACTGGCAATGGCAATGGTAGGCCTATACTGACTTGAAACAGAATAGAATGACATGACCGGTAGTGATTTTGTTTTAAAGTAGGCCTACTGTTTCACAATAGAAAATTTCACTACTGAACTACGTAAGCAATAAATTTATGTTTATAAAAGTCAGAATAGAAACACTATAAAGGCAAAACAATAGACGGGAGGCAGGCGTTGTGCAATGACCTTGAAATGAGCGGAATAGTAACATTGAGTAGGGGAAGGGATGGGTGAGACCTTTGAGCTATATTTAGACTAGACTTTCACCACTTCCCAAATGGCTGGGTACGGGGATTACAATAGCAGGTTTTTTCCTTGCCTGGTTTGACTTTTGTCTTTTTGTGTAGGAGATTTGAATAATCAGAAATATAATTTGAATTGACCACAATTATTTAGCATTGATTATACAATTTGCAAGGGACCAGGAGGAAATAGAACAAAACACTAAAATTAATAGAATAACAAACAAAGTTAACAACAAATTAAATACAGAACACGGTGATTTAACACTGTCACTGTCACTCAATTTTGTTGTCTAGAAGGGTCGGTGAACTAATCAATAAATAGCCAAAACCAGTTTCCTCCCCCTCTAACCACTACCCCTCCCCCCTAAGCCGGGAGGCCCAACACTTTGTCCTTGAAACACCCTAGCCTCTGAAACAATAAACCCTTACACCTGCGTTGCTGTTTTGACAACAGGTTTATGAATGCGTTCACTATTTTTCATTTTCCAGAATTAACTATCAATTATTATTATTTGCAAGTTACAAATAGGAAACTACATGACATTATGGTACCTATTCAATGACCCATGTATTATCAAAAATTTATAATTGATTACTTATTTTGATCATAAAAAGCATTCATTACAGCACGCAGCACTTATTGATATATATATATATATATATATATATATATATATATATATATATATATATATACTGTATATATAATCATCAAAGTATCTGTTACTTTATACAAAATAAAATAGGTAAAAAATTGTGTGGCCAGTCAAAATTTATAAACAAACATTTTATTCTATAAAATACAGATGGTAAATAGGGGTTGGTTTAAAGGAAATAAAATACAAAACAGATTAATTAATTATTTTGATAAACGATAGAAAGGTTATGGGATTGATTGAACTAAAATAACCACAGGAAATCTTAAGTAGAAAAGTCGTCAACCACAATCTGTTTATTCAGTACATCGTTAGAGAGAGAGGGGGGGGGAGAGAGAGATAGCAGATAGGGGCGTTTGATAGGGAATCTGAAAAAGTAAACAAACAAGGAACAACGACGCGACAATACTCGTTTATAACCTTATTGTCAAATCTAGGTCTTTGTAAGACAAAAGAAAATCACACAGTTTTAAACTTTAACCTAATTTTATACTCTTTACAAACAAACACGTCCTACATAACGGTTCTTGATATTTATCAATGTATCTTAGCAATCGTCACTTGCTCCATTGAAACACGAACGTCGATTGGCTGACATGACAGTGCAGCATGGCCTCTCGACCAATGAGAACTCTTGTTACATACTTTGATTTATCTTAGATAGTCAACATTTACCATTCATTATAATATTACAAAATCGACATGGACTATGCGTATGGTGTTTTTCAATCAAAACTTATGTTATAGTAGCACTTAAAACTTCACTTAAACTCTTAAACTAGGTAGATAGTACAGATATAATATGGATCTACTTTTTGGTGCAATAGGCAAGTGCAAGCCTAACCCTCTGACTTCGATGTTGTAATTGAATCGAATTTTTCTAATGATGCGTAATGCAGGGATGAAACTGAACATTTAGACAAGTTTAGGTTATTTATTTTGTTCTAAAAATAAAAATAATACATTTAAAGATCTGACTTATTGATACAGACATTTTTTAGTATAATTTCGTGTTGAGGACACTCGCGCGCCGGTTGTCTGAGACTGAATTCTGACTGTCTGACATCTTGAAATGTAGATTGTATTGTGTTGTGCAATATCATCTGCCTGCAGAGAGAACAGCTGAAAATAAACTTTAGCTGTTTTGAACTAAATAGTGTGCTAAGTTGGTTACTAAAGTTGTTAGCGTGATTACAAAACTAATAGATATCAAATAAATAAATGTTAAAATAAAATATCTATCCATCCCTGTCGGCTGTCGGTATCGGCGGAATCGGGCGAAATCGATGTTTGGCAATCGATTCTTGATACCGATATTCCTAGTATCGGCAATGTCCGAGTATCGGTGGTAGCGATAATTGACACTTCCCTATCTAAAACTCATTTTGGAGTCCTGAATTAGTTTTAAACATGCATCGGGACGTAATCGTTGCATCGGGAGCTAACCGATGCATCGGTCTTTTTCGATGCATCGAGGCCAAATCGATGCATCGTGATTTCGATGCATGCTGAATCGAATCGCGATTCGATGCATCGAATCGAATCGAATCGAAATTTCGATGCATTTTCGATGCATCGCACACCCCTACTTGTATCTAAGTGATGTTGCGGTGTCAACTGATGATTTAAATTTGGACCAAAATAATTTTATAGCCTCAGTCAAAACACCACTTCTACGGAGCCAATCTTTTAGGAAATTTTTAAACGTTTTTTTAATAGATAATACTTGTTTATATTGGTATTAAAAATTGATCAATTAAATAACAGTGGTAAATGACTCAAACCTCATAAAACTAATTGAATTCAGCCCCCATGAACTACCATAGATAACAAATGTAGAAAAATGCTAAATTCACTTATGGCTTAAATTCAAATTGAAGACCTTTTATGGTAGAAATAAGATCTTTCCTCTAGGGAGAGATCTATACTTATTTCTATTATAAGTGGACCAGGAGCTAAAGATATCCTGTAAACCACCAAGTAACATCACTATCGCAAAACTAAAATCTATTGGCATTTGGCAGCATCCCAACCAAACCCAACAAAACAAAAGCTTCATAACAAAAGGCCAACACTATTCCACATAGCCATTCGCTCTCAAAACTGTTTACAGCATAATGAGGTGTACAATGTCTCATTTTATTGAGTACTTTTGTCTTGATTTATTCCTATCTTACATAACATAAAACCATTAAATAAAATCATTGGTGCGTCTCACCTAAGCTTGCCAGACTGCAGAAGGTCTCCTTTGTTGGTCATGAAGGCTGCAAGCATTCTGAAGGTTTTCTGTGCAGACATCTTGTCATTCTTCAAACCCAGTAGCCATCTTGCCATAGCTTTCAGGCCTTCAATCTGGAACAAAAAATTAAATCAATCTAAAACCTTAAAAGAATATTTTCCATTTTTTTAAATTTCACACCCTGAAACAGTAAGAATTTATTTCCTGTTAGAATGATAAATTAACATAGTACTCTTTGTTTGAAGTTCATTGTTGGTGATGGTGAGATAATGTTGTTCAAAGGTTTATTGCGGACATTTTTCATCACGATTGTAAAAACAATACACAACGTTTCGGGATCTGGAATCTGATCCCGTCCTAAGGTGAAAAAACCTAACTAACACATTACAACTAACAATACACAAACGCCCAACCTAAGTTGGTTTGCACTACAGAAGGTAGCAGTCAAAAATATGCACTGTATAGCAGTCAAGTCACGATACAACATGCAAATAATAACCAATCACAAAACACTATAATCTATAAGAGGTGTAATGTAAAAAGCTCACACAATGGAACACTAATAGCACCGTTCGCAATGACTCCACCAATGAGACTGATGCAACATGGCCGACCAATCGGAAACACGTAGACAACAGAAATGGCTTCCGGTCCCTGGAAAAGTAAAACCAACAAAACGGCAGAGCGATGTACGATGCCGCAAGATAGGTGTTAATTCTGTTTATTCCTATCACGAGTTTTACTACGAGTTAACATAACGTGCGAATTTTGAGGAAAACTCGTTATTTCACCATTTATTGAACAATTAAGTTCCCTATCCCTTAGTTCCTTGTTCAAAATGGGTAGCCAAAGTGGCCTGATTTCAACCGATGACTGACTGATTGGTTGGTCTGATAATTTAATGTATGAGGCTTCAATGAGTTTACGTTTGAAAAAATGAGGTTCCTTATGGACAATTTTTGCCTCTTCAAAATTCATACGATGATTTTCGGACCAGCAATGATGAGCGATCTTAGATTTTTCCACTAAACCTTTTTTAGTGTTTTCTCTGTGTTCTTTGATTCTAACGTTCAACGGTCTCCACTCGACATATCTCCACCATATCTTCGGTTTGAGCCGAGCTGAAGCCAAAGCTTTTTGCTCAAACTCCTCCATCAAATCAAATCAAATCAAAACATCTTTATTTTCCTTACATGTACATGGGTACAAAAATAGTGTCAAGTATAAAGTACTAAACTAGCTTAAAGATATAAATACATTTTAAGTATGAATAGGTATTTATTCAATGAGTTCCTCCATTGTATAAGGCGCCTTTTCTATTAAATGTTTTTTTAATTTAGATTTAAATAATTTATAATTTGATTCCTCTTTTATAGAGGCAGGCAATTTCCTTAGAATTAGTGATCCAGCAAAAGTTGGTTTTTTTTTTTGAGAATTCCAGCTTATAGGTTGAAGTTACAATATCCTTTTTATGTCTTGTATTGTAAATATGTGGCACAACTGGCTCATATTTTAGGCTGTCTCTTTTAGCTATACATGCTATTTCAAAAGTATACGCTGCAAAAACTGTTAAAATATTTAGATTTTTAAAGTGAGATTTAACTGATTCATCTTTTTTAAGGTGTAACATAGTTCTAATGGCTTTTTCTTGCATGATTAGAATTTTATTTAAATTTTTAATCGTAGTTGCCCCATATAGTCCAATGCCATAGTTTATGTGAGAATGAATATGGGCAAAATATATTTTTTTAAGTGCATCTAAATTGCACAAATAAGACATTCTTTCCAATGCGTACACTCCAGAATTAAGCTTTTTTAATAATTTTTCAACGTGTTTATTCCAACTTAGATGTTCATCTACATAGAGACCTAAAAGTTTGGCTTCAGAAAGTTGTTCTATTGATTCTGAATCAATGATCAAATTGGGTTCAAGTTTCTGTTTACTTTGTTTAGTCGAAAAGGACATAAAGTTTGTTTTTGTTGTATTAAGATTCAAATTATTATTTTTTAGAAATTGTTGTATATTATACAATTCTACAAAGGCCGAAATTTCCAACTCCTCTTTACTTTTCCCCGCCACTGTTAAATTTGAATCATCTGCATATAAACAAATCTTACTCTTTTGAGGATTAACAATACTTTTAGGCAATTCTTTTATATAACATAAAAACAAAATTGGTCCCAAAATTGAACCCTGTGGCACCCCCCACTTAATTCTACGTTTATGAGAGTTAAATGTAGTTAAATAATTGTTTTTGTTTGATTTTATTTCAACAAATTGCATCCGACCATCCAAATAAGATTGAAACCATTTTAAGGGGACTCCCATTATTCCAAGACTTTCCAGTTTCTCTAGCAAAATTGAATGACAAACACTATCAAATGCTTTAGAGAGATCCATGTATATCCCTAGAACATTTTCACCGTTTTCAATTGATTCTACGATGGACTCAATGAAGTCAGTAGCTGCTGTTATTACTGATCTTCCATTTCTGAAACCATGTTGAGAATTATCAAATAACTTATTTGATTCAAGATAATCTACCAATCTAATGTACATTGCTTTCTCGTATACCTTTGATACAGCAGGGAGCAATGAAACAGGTCTATAGTTAGATATTTCAGTAACTTCGTTTTTTTTATGTAAAGGAATTACCTTTGCAATTTTTAGTTGATGCGGAAATAAGCCAGACACAAAAGAGGAATTCACCAAATGTACAAGTGGCTTTACTAAAAGGTTCCCTACATATTTTAATAATTTAGTTGGTATATCATCATAACCACTAGACATTTTATTCTTAAGTGAACCAACAATTCTTTCCATTTCCTTATCATCTACAGGAGTGCACTTAAATATCCTACTTTCAAAAAGCCCTTTTGTTTTATTTACATCGCTAACTTGATTAGTTGTTCCTCTATTTTTATCTAAAGGTTGCCTAACACTAAAGCTATCTACAACATCTATGAAGTAATTATTAAACATGTTTGCAACATAAGTAGGATTTTCAATTAGTTCATCATTCAGTCGAAGACTAATATTCTCTGAGTAAGTGTTTTTTTTGTTTGAAACTTCATTATTAATTATTCTCCATGTGGTTTTGTTAATGTTACTTGAATTATGAATTTGGAAATCAAAAAACTTCTTTTTACTCTCAGAAATTTTTTTATTTAATATTTTTTTTCTTTTATTTAGTTTAGAGAAAGTACATTTATTTTGTACTTTTCTAGCTATTCTACTCATTTTTATAATTTCCTGTTTTTCTTGTTTAATTTCTGGATTTATCCAGGATTTCTTTGTGTTGTAAATTTTGACAAGTTTATTTTCAAAACATAAATTGAAATAGTAAATTAACGTTTTGTGAAAAATATTGTACTTTTCTGTTACCGGTGCTAAATAAACATCATTCCAGTTTTCCTTTTCCAGCATTTGATAAAATTGGAGCTTATTTTCTTCTGAGAATTGTCGGGATTTTTTAAAAATGTAATTGTTTTTTATACATTTATCTAAAATATTTATTTCTAAGATTTGTCCATCGTGATCTGAAAGCTCAGTTATGACTCCTGTGGTCTTTAATTCATGGGTTGGAATGTTTGTTAGAATGTTATCAATAGCCGTTACTGAGTTAGCTGTGACCCTTGTTGGAAAATTTACTAAAAATTTCAAACCGTGAGATTTTAACAAATTATCAAAATCCTTGCTTTGTTTGCTGTTTACTAAAACATTTATATTAAAATCTCCTACTATTACCACCTTTTTGTTTTTTGATAACACATAGTCACATAGAATACCTAATCGACTTAAAAATTCATTAACACTACTTGCAGGTGATCTATATATACCAACCAAAAGAATTTCATCCCCTACAAAAAAATATTTTGAACAACAGAACTCAAACACTTTTTCTTCCCTTAACACTTCAATATTAGCATAGTTCACCTGCTCCCACTTTAAACCAAGCTTAGATAATATCAAAACACCTCCACTTTTAAATTTTTCCCGAGTGTAATAAAGATGTTGGCAAAGATAGGTGACAATGGGGACCCCACGGCCATACCCTCATCTTGACGGTATAATTTACCCTCTAATTGGAAATAGTTACACTGAGTACACAAGTCCAAAAGTTCCATTATGACGTTAACAGGGAGTTTAGTTCTGAATGCTAAAGTATCGTCGTTTGTGAGAAGAGTCTCAATTATTTTTAGGGTTTCCAACACCGCATTTCACAGTGAGACAAAAAGACCGTTGAACGTTAGAATCAAAGAACACAGAGAAAACACTAAAAAAGGTTTAGTGGAAAAATCTAAGATCGCTCATCATTGCTGGTCCGAAAATCATCGTATGAATTTTGAAGAGGCAAAACTTGTCCATAAGGAACCTCATTTTTTCAAACGTAAACTCATTGAAGCCTCATACATTAAATTATCAGACCAACCAATCAGTCAGTCATCGGTTGAAATCAGGCCACTTTGGCTACCCATTTTGAACAAGGAACTAAGGGATAGGGAACTTAATTGTTCAATAAATGGTGAAATAACGAGTTTTCCTCAAAATTCGCACGTTATGTTAACTCGTAGTAAAACTCGTGATAGGAATAAACAGAATTAACACCTATCTTGCGGCATCGTACATCGCTCTGCCGTTTTGTTGGTTTTACTTTTCCAGGGACCGGAAGCCATTTCTGTTGTCTACGTGTTTCCGATTGGTCGGCCATGTTGCATCAGTCTCATTGGTGGAGTCATTGCGAACGGTGCTATTAGTGTTCCATTGTGTGAGCTTTTTACGTTACACCTTTTATAGATTATAGGGTTTTGTGATTGGTTATTATTTGCATGTTGTATCATGACTTGACTGCTATACAGTGCATATTTTTGACTGCTACCTTCTGTAGTGCATTCCAACTTGGGTTGGGCGTTTGTGTATTGTTAGTTGTAATGTGTTAGTTAAGGTTTTTCACCTTAGGACGGGATCAGATTCCAGATCCCGAAACGTTGTGTATTGTTTTTTACAATCGTGATGGAAAATGTCCGCAATAAACCTTTGAACAACATAGTACTACCAGTTATGTTAGTGATAGGTATGGTCAGGTTTGTAGCACAACACCGCATTTCACAGTGAGATAGCTGCTAATCTACTGGTGCTTAGTAGTTTGTCAAATCTAACTTGTGAGCGCTTGTAGCGACGTGTGCTTACAGAGGTACTCGTCCCGGTCAGCTGACGGTGGCATGGTAGCTCAGTTGGCTAAGGCGTTGCACTCATGAGTGTAGCGTTGAGGTCTCTTCATGTGCAGGTTCGTATCCAACTGAGCTAACATTCTACCATCCTATTTCCACCATAGATTGAGTCGATTGCCTCTATGAGACACACGATGAGACTAGGTTTCGCATGTTGGATTCGACATACTACTTGAGCACCAGTGGGTTAGCAGTACGGCATCTCGCTGTGAATTTTAGTGACGTTGATAAAGTGTAAATTATATCATCAAGTGTCTACCTTGCACCTAGTCTCCTCTGGTAGCTGGTCTTCCTCACACCAATCATCATCATTGTTTTGGCCTCCTCCGTCACTCTCCTTCACCAGCAGCTCCTTCACAATCTGCACAACAATACACATACTGATAATAGACAAACATCTTTTTTTGTAAGTTTTTAAAGAAATACATAAGTGTCATACATGTAGGCTAATAGAAAGTTGTTCTTATTTTACAATAATTATTTGGTTTGTTTGGTTTTACATTAGGGTCTATCTTAAGTTGAAAAATTCCTTGATTGAGTACACTGATTTATAAGCCATTTCTAAAGTTCCTGTTTCAGTTTTTTTCCTGAAAGTTTTTTTGTGTACAATGGAAGGGAATTTAGAATTTTGCAGCCAATATACGACGGTTTCTTACTGATTTGTGTGGTGTGGTGGATGGGAAGGCTGTAGTCTTTAGCTCCTCCGAGTGTGTCTTCCGAATGAGAGCTTCCTAGTTGGTCATATGATATTGAGTCGTAGATTTGTTTCACATCCAAATTGGTTGCAGTAGAACCTTATTTTTGTTTACAGATCTTATTCGTTGTTGATGATAGTAAGTTTATGTTATTAAGGAACTATTCGTGGTAAAAGATTCTATGCCAAAATAGGTTTGATTTTACCATTGCAATATTTCTTTCTTTGTGATAGAATATAAATTAGGGGTCTGCGGTACAGAAAATTTAAGGTCAGTACGGTTCGGTACGGTACAATATTTTGTACCTCGGTTCTCGGTACAAAATCGGTACGGTACGCGGCTACCCGTATTTTAGCGGTTTTCTTTTCAGATCAGTATTTGAACCATTATTTTTAATTTTAATACATTGAAATTACTATGAAAATGGATAGTATCCTACATTCATGGTTTTCTAACAACAATTACTGTACCACACATTATTAAAACCTTTACTCCTACGAGGATTGTGTCAAGAAAAATCACAATTAAGATAAAGGCTTTACCTATTTTACTCTGAGAGACTTTGAATAGCCATGATATAAATTATTTCCAACCAACACAATGTCTAATTGTTTTTTAAGCTTGTAAAAACATAAAAGCATTCAGTACAAAAACAGTGTAGTTGCCAGCTGTTCACATTCAAGAGATGACGATGAAAAACAGGATGTTATGATGAAGTAATGGCAAAGAGCATCTTTTTTATCAGCTTGAAAACTAATTATAAGATGGATACATCTCTTGCAAAGTTTTTTTCTTAAACTAAAATTTGGATTACCACAGAGTAATATTATTGTCTTTTCATTTACAAAGTTAACATCCACACATATCAATCATTAGTTCATTATCTCAGACTCAATCCAATTTTCTTAGTATATTTGAAAGCTCTTCCAAAGTGAGTCAAAAGACCCAGGCCTGGACCTAATTATTTAGGATGGCCTATATAAATTGAGTAGGTTACAATGAGGGTAGCAAAATCACTATCATAATTCTAGTTCATAAGATTTAGATTGCATAAAGTACTTTCAACACAATAAAAAATATAGGAAACAAAAAAATTTAAACCTTAACCCTTTGAGTGCCAACGTCCGGGGAACCGTTTTTAAAACGAGCCAAAAGTGCCGACGTCCGGCCGACCGGACGTTTTTAGAACAAGCCAAAAGTGCCAACGTCCGGCTGACCGGACGTTTCGTAATGATCGAACAGTTGTCATAACAACCGAATGGATACTCGGATTCTTTTAACCCATATATTAACATTGAGTCGAAAGTTACTAGATGCGATACATCGATTTTCGTTGGTCGAAATATCGAAAATTCGATTTTTACGAAATTTTAACCTAAAAATCGCCAGATCGCGCTCGGCATTTTTAGCGCGACCTTCGGGAAAAATCATCGGCATTTTTTGAGCGTTACTTTTATTTCTCGCCTGGCACTCTAAGGGTTAAACAGCCACATCCAACAAAATATAAGACAAGATACAGAACATACAATGACATAATTTAAGACCGAGTAGGCTTGCATAACGGAAAACAAATTATGCAAACAACAACTACTACGCTTGTGGCTTCATCAATAGAAAGGTAAAATATCCATAACAAATATCTTAACTTATAAAATAAGATTGTAGATCAGTTACAACTTTAATACGAAGCCATAACAGTTTTATGGCAGTAGGCAAAGGCCAGTGGGCAAACTGAATATTCACGAAAATAGACTGAGTTAGAGATAAAATTTACAGTCATCATAAAACTATTATTTTTATGATAAAATAGAAGTGGAGAAAGTCGTATAGGAATAAAAGTGATAAAACTCAACAGTTCTTGGAAGTAGTGATGTGTTAAAACCGAATCTCAAATCTCAAAACCATCAAAACTTAGGAAAAGTTTCGGTTTCGAGATTCGATCACAAAGTTTCGAGATTCAAAAGTTTTGAAATTGAAGATTTTGGCAGTTTTATTTTTGAAACTGATGACATTTTTTTGTGCCATTGTTATTGTTTTTAACACTGTTTCCAAACAAGCTGGTAGCAACAGAGCAAACATTACCATTAACAGTAATGAAACAAGCGACTTTTATTCTGAACTTCAAAAGGTATCTTAAATACTATAACTGGTACAATTCAGTTTCACATCAATATTTACTAAACGCAAAGAAATATTGACCACTAAATGTTCTAATTAATTTAATATTCATGTTTATGTTGGTGTTAGAAGTTTAATTATTTGTTTTGTTGGTTGTTTATGAAAAATTATGTTGTATTGGATTTTAAGATTATCAGTCACATTCACATGTATTTATGTTTTGTCATGGTCAGGAGTTGATCTCTTTCAGTTTTGATTGCATACTTAACATTTTATGATTATGTGTATTTTTTGTAACCTTGACCTTTGTAACCAGCTAAGCAAAAAAGTTTCGTGTATAGGTTTTGAGATTCGAGATTCGGGATTCGATTTTTTAAAGTTTCGGTTTCGGTTTTGAGATTCGAAATTTCTGGTTTTGACCATCACTACTTGGAAGTACTTGAATACAACAATTACTGTCGTGATAAAATGTTAATGGATTTGGGACTGCTAATGGGTTTTTTATTGCATCATCACCCTAGTAATAAACCATGAAGATCATAAACAAACATCTGATAAGACTTTTATGTGCTCAGAACCAACTACTGTTGAGGTAATTAAGAGACCCCTAATATAAATGCATTTCCTATTGAGAAGGCTCATCCACTATAAAGGCAAGACATCTCTTTCTATCAAAAACTAAATCAAACCTACAGGTAAGTCTGAATGTATGTAATCCAAACCTTTTGTCATACCAATAGATCAAGGCTAAGTTGAATTGTTGGTAGAATCGTACCTTTCTAGATACCAAGTTTTTGATGTGAACAGGGTAGTGGTCTGGCAGGTTATAGGCAATGTGACCGAGTGCTACAATTGCTGTCCTGTAGTTTGGTGAAGTAGGTGTTAGGTTCTCCTTTACTTTCTGAAAAGGGAAACCAAAGTTAAGATTAAATTGTAAGAGTAACTGACACACTTGTTCTACCTCTGAGAAATTACACTTGACAAAACAAATTATAAGCATGTCTATACACAACTAACATTTGTTCTAATAATGTCTAATAAAACACCAAAAAAATTCTTGTTTCAAATATGCTACTTACATAAACGGAAAAAGTAAAACATATTGTAACCAAGCTTGGGTTGAGTAAGACAATATTTTCTGCTGTTGATGTGTTTTAATCCAATGAAGTTGCCAAATTTTTACCAAAACCGACTTATTCATTCAGGTTACACAAGTAACTTTGCTTTGATCTATTTTTTTTTTATTGAGCATTGTCTCCAGGATTGATTTAAGACAATATAAAATAGGTTACGTACCTTACATCGTCAATCCTTGGATAGTCTTTTCAAGCGACTAGTTTCGAAACTGACGTTTCATTTTCAAGCCTTGTCTAACATAAAATTATTTGAACATAATGTCTTCGTCAAAATACACAAATACACATTTAACACGCATAAATACATTAAGTAACAGAAAGACGCGCGGCCGGCTATAGAAAGACACGACGACACGACTCAACTACCGACTGCCACTCATACTAACGCCGACTGCCAGTTGAGTCGTGTCGTCGTGCGTGTTATAGCCGGCCGCGCGTCTTTCTGTTACTTAATGTATTTGTGCGTGTTAAATGTGTATTTGTGTATTTTGACAAGAACATTATGTTCAAATAATTTTATGTTAGACAAGGCTTGAAAATGAAACGTCAGTTTCGAAACTAGTCGCTTGAAAAGACTATCCTAGGATTGACAACGTAAGGTACGTAACCTATTATATTTTTTTTTTTTACTTGATAAAGTTTTAGTGCTGATCAAATTAAATTGAATTACAAATTAATGAATCTACTATAAATATAGATTTTAACCTTCCTAGGTGTAAATTATGTCAGCTTTTTGGAGCACATAAAATGTCTTGGACCACATATTCCAAAGATTATTTCCAATAAGCTCAAACCTGTTTTGAAAGCACTATTCCAGGGACCCATACATTTCCCTCCTCATAAATCTCACCAGGTCAATTTCAACAATTATGATTATACTGTATACCTAAACAGTTCATAACTTTAAGTAGTATATTACCTCTAGCATTTCAGAAAACAGCCCTTCAACATTGTTTGAAACATTTTTGAATAAACATCTTATCGCATGTTTCGCTTGCTTGGGAGTTCCAGTCTCCACAAACCTCTTACAAATGGGAATCAGTTGATTTATTTCATTGGGGACCACGTCATCTGAAAACACAACATTGATTAATATAATCTTACAGTAGGCCATACTAGGGAAGCAAACTATGTCCTAGTCAGCTCTCATAGTACAGTAGACTCCCGATTATCCACGATAATGAGTGACTGAGTGATCGTGATAGTCAAAATCGTTGATGATGCAAACCTAAGGGAATAACTTGCATCGACTTTGAATGTACAGTAAAGATTTAATCATAGACTAAGCAAAACAAGTATACTTCTCATCCCATTGTAAATTTTGAAACTTGTTTTTTGTGTCTAGTTCATGTATGTCGACACTGATCGCTAGTGGAGCGATTTAGAGGAAATTTTGTCTCTATTATTTTTCATAGGGTATGTATTATTTTTCATGATTTGTGCTTTACTGTTTGGTTATATAACTAGGAGACCAGTTATTGTTAATTATTAGATCGTTTTATTTGGTTGAACGAGGTTTTAAATTACTGAAATAACAATAAAATTGGCTTCAGCTGTTCCATAAGGATGACCAATCTACTAAGGGAGTATGTTTTATCTATGCTTTAATAGAGGTTTAGGTGTTAATACAAAATTTTGAATGCAGTGAATATTTTAAATTTGTTTCAAAACACTTCTTTTTACAAAACAAATAATATTGGAGAGCCTATGTACGTACAGGCCAAGTAATAACAAAAAAGTTTCACGTTTGATACACTTATTTACAACCTAGTTTTTATAAAGGAAAAAAAGCAAATTGGCTTTGGGATTATTGTTAAGGACTTATTTACAACCTAGTTACCATTTTCCAAATGTCATTGAGTATTTAGCTTTAAGATACATATAATGAGAAACATAATAATAAGCTGGGTGGCACAGTTACGTACCAAGCCGCTTGTATTTCCCCAGGAAGGTCAGCACCGTCAGAACCAGTGGGGCAATATAATCCTCTTCCATGCTTAACAGTCTTATTAAATGCTGAATTATGTCTTCATGTAGAAAATGATGGGGGAAAATGTATGAAAGCATCTGAAACAAACACAAGTTTGGTTAGTCAAAAAAACTGTTATAGTTTAATATTAACAACTTGAATATACTTCCATCAAGTAATTAACTTATACTATTTGGATTAAACGGTATCAGCAAGCAATCTGACACATACTTTCTCCCATTTGTCAACAACCCTTAGCATGGGAATGCGGTGGGAGTAACTATCATATTTTAGGGCGTAATTCACAAAGGTTGCAATAACTTTTGAACAGTAATATTTACAGCAATGAGGGTTGTACATTTCTTTTAAGAGTTGAAAGGTCTATAACATACTAAATATTAAACCAAATTGTTTTGGGCCGTTTTTAAAATCAGATTTTTCTGTAATTTTTTCCAGGAAAATCACCATTACAATTTTCAAAGAGTAAAAAAAACACCTTGAGATACCTTGGATTAGTGCCCACTTACCAAATTTCATCAAAATCGGTCTATATGTGTTGTCTGTAGCTCTGTACACATCTACACATCTAGACAAACACATAACTTTAAAACCACATTATTGGGTTCAGTGGGATCCAAAATAGATTTCTCCACCTAAAACTCAAACTCATAAATTTTGACAAAAACAATACTTCCTCCATATAGACTTACTGTATATAGGGGAGAAAGTAACAAGGGAAGGCAGAGGCACTTACCACAAGTAGTCTAAGGCCTCGTTCACCAGCATTGTTAGGATGAAGTCCTATTTCTTCAATCAGATTTCCACCTTTCAAGCAGTCTTCCACAAAACCAATCAGAGCCTGGAACATAAGTGAAATTTCAACTTTATGTCAAATCAAGGGGGATTTGTCAGATTTATGAACTTAATTGTTTCACGTTAATGTTGTAAATTTAACACAGTTTCAAAATAATAATAACTTACTTATCACTTCTCAGAAATATTTGATCTCCGAATGTAATTGCTAACTAGGGGTTTTGTTCAAGAAAAGGCTCTAGGAAGAGTTCAAAATCCTAGGTGTAAGAAGTGCATATTTTATTTTTGGACAGGATGAAATAAGAATTATATAGGCCTAGATACTTATTGGCCAAAAATATTAAGAAATAACAGACAGGGTTATTTGTAGGGTTTTCAGGCCCCTTAATTTTAGAGTGGGGGCGGGCCAACTGTTGTCCCAGAAGTTCAGTTGAGGCCCAAATTAATTTGGTGATTTAGCTTGGGTCAGGTGTGCAAGTGTGATACAAAATTTAAGATAAATTTTGCTGCGATCGCAGAAGACCATAATGTTGTCTCCGTGATTGCTGAAAATGACCACAATTCGGCTACTATAGCGAGTGACGATGATGTTGTCGTCATGATCACATAAGATTGCCACTATAATGGGCGATGATCACGATGACTTTGCTATCACAGGAGATGATCTTTATTTTACCACTATTGTGGGAAACAATGATGATGTCTCCACGATCATGGGAGATAATAATGATGATCCATGCCGTGATCACGGACTATAGTTATGATGACATTGGATAATTACACATTACATAATATGAGATTACTGCTACTAATACTGCTTTGCTACTGGCAACCAAATCAGACGTGCCTTGTAAGTTAAAAGTTTCCCTTATTGCGAGGTGACAAAAATCCTGCACTCAAAATCAGGAAGGAAATAAAAACTTATCCCATCTTCTATATAGTCTTAAAAAATATAAAATATAGTATAGTCTTGTCTATTTCAAATAAATGTCTTCTTTTTGATTTTCTAAATTCAGATATCATCTGGCCATTTTCTCTGTTTTCAAGCTAGCTAGTGTAAGTCTATTGAACTTTCTAAGTTTCTCACATATCCAAAAACTAATGGTTAGTCAGATAAGTATATCTTGGACTTACTCTGATGGCGATTGAGTCCACCATCACTGACGAGATCCTCTCCAGCAACATCTTGACAGTAGTGTAGTACAAGTTGGTCTGGACAGGCTGGCCTAGCTTCTTCAACACCAGACTGGTGGTGTGGGTGCAGTCTTTACAAGACATGTCAGGGCGAACCAACGCTTCCATGCCTGCAATACAATACAAACATATCAACTGTAAACTGTAGGCCTACAGGCACAAACTAATGACATGTCTGTATTGAATGATGACTAATGACTCTAATGACTCTGTAGTTTGAAAGTAGAATGCTACGGTTTGTTTTATCGAGATAAATTATCAGCTATTGATTTCTTTTCAGTGTTTTCTCTTTTAGGTTCAGCTTGTGACATTAAACATGTGGATATAATGTATTGACCAAGCCTATTGTGATCTACTTAATGGCTGAAAACATTTTTTTTTGTACAACAAACCCTGGTAGGAGATGCTCTACGGAGTGTGAACAGAACAGTTCTTGTTTGTCACAAATACTTGTTTAAATACTTTCAGTCGTGAGATTCAAATAGTCTTTTTTTCTGCAACATAGGTTTCAGCAAATTTTAGCAATATTATCAGGCTCCAGTGTGAAATTTAATCAGTCCATTACAAGTCGTTGAGTACACATAGTCCACATGACACAAACACAGGTAAAACTAGTAAACATTTACAGATCGGTATTTACAAAACAAGCACACACACATGTGAGTTTTGTTCAAGGAAAGGCTCTAGGCTAGGATTTTGAATTGAAGAAAAAGGAGGATAGCAGCTAGCTTACCTTGAAAGTGTAGGTAGGCCATAGAACATGTAGAAAAAGAAAAACCCTGGAGCCTGATAGCGCTACAATGTGCTGAAACCTGGGTGACAGAAACCAGCTTTATTTTAACTGGATGACTGAAGGTATTTAAAACCATTATTACCGATAGTATTTTTTTTTTTTTTTTTTTTTTTTTTTTTAAGAGGTTGGCATGTCTTTTAACCTTGCATTTTGCCTGTCCATATAGACTAACCGCCCGTGCGTGGAACGTTTACAGCAAAGCAAGGAGTGAGCTGGTACAGTACAAAGGTGAACTGTACTGATAAATTTTAGTGGCAGTGACCAGGATCCGAACCCACGACATCGCTGCCTTGGGCCCGAAGACCGCGACGCTACCGACTGAGCCACCGACTCACTAAACCTAACTAGTTCAGGGGCATTTGCACATCTTGTGAATTAAATTAATAAAATCTACTTTGAAAGTGAGACTTACCGAGCAATAAACTTGGGTCCTTCATCATATTTTTGGAAAACCTGACAAGGAATTCCTGAGCCTTTAATGGGTCTGGGAGGAACCGAGATATTTGGATAAGTCGTGCTCCTATATCCTTTTCTCTCTCCATACTTGGTGGTCGCCTGTGAATCTCCAGCCACTCACCCACACTCTTACGCACTCTGTAATAAAACAATCATTGATGGTTATCAGGGCAACCGGCAACTTTTACAATTATTTACTATTTTAGTATTTTTAACTTTTCATTTATGTTTTAACAGAATCAATTTAATTTACTACCCAAAATCCAACAGTTATCTACAGTATTTGGTCTAAAGGTGTAAGGCAGGATAAACTTGAATGAGTTCGCGAACCAGCATGATCGGACCATGGGAACGAGGTTTTACAGGAGGTTTTTACGGATTCCACTATAAACTGTAGTTTCCTTAGTTGCCATTGGCTGTATGGGCTATTAATTAACAGTCCTGTCTAAGGAAAATGTCGGCCTTAGTCAGTAACAAGACTACAAGACCGCGCTACTATTCATACACTCATCTCCATTCATATTTGGTTTAAAATACCTACATTTATATGACCGCCATTTAAATTAAAAAGTATTAAAAGTGCCTATTACTTCTACCACAGAAAGTTGACCTAACTATGTTAAGAGCATCAACCCTGTTAACTGACACAAGTTCAGTAAAAAATAATACTTACGTCAGTTGACTTTTTTGCAGTTCTACAAATGCCTTAGTTGCATGATCATCAATCGTGCCAACCAAGTGGTACAACTTTTTCATCCTCTCCTCAGGTGGAAGGGTGTAAGGAACTAACGAAGTATTCAGCAATCTTTCAACCAGCAGCCTAAAATATTAAAAATGTGTTTAAAAGATGCTGGTTATCATGACTTGTATCAAACTATCTTTTCTACTTGTTTCTACTACAGAATTAGATGTGTGGATACCAAAATTTATCGATTCTTAAAACCGATAATCTGAAAAATCTATTCTTGTTACTGATAATTTTGTTTTTATTGTAGGGTACAAAATCTTCTACATGGAATGATTATACCACATCACATCAACCCCTGTCCCGGACAGTACTCAAAGTCCTTTTTGGATATGGTGGTACCGGACTTTCTTTTGTGATCACTGAAATCCTGAACATCTTTCTGGTCACAGAACGTCACCACTGTCTTCACCACAAAATCCTGAACATCTCCCACAGAAGTGTTGACATTATCATCGTCTTCTGTGATTACGGCATTTCAAATCTTCCCAGACGTGTCGGGTATTGGTATAGGATAGATTCTCCATTCAGATTTCAATGTTCAAAAATCAGTATCGTGAATAGACACATACCTACTTATGTTACATTGTAATTGACTTTATGGTGTTTTTTAGCATTATTTGATAAAACTATTTGTGTTTAAATAATCCTACAAGAGAAGTAAACAAACGTGTATAATCTTTGGGTAACATACCTATCTTCCATGCCCTGCATGTAATATCCCTTCAAAATTTTATCCTTAATCCAGAGGACAGCCTTTTTAGTTGCTTGCGGAACATCAGAATCAGACAAATGCTTTTTGTATATTAAGGAGAGACCGGTCATAGCTTCCTTTCTAATTTTGAACTGAAACAAATTACACATTCAATTAACAATAATAAGCTTTAGAAAGGCCAGACATAGTGTAAACTTACCTTAATATAACAAAGTCCAGGGTACAAGATAGATTTTTAAAATTTTCAAAGACTCAATGTGACTCAGATCTCTTAAAAAGTATTAAGTCCAGTTTAAAGCCTCCATATAAGAAATTTGTAGAAAGATTCACATATTGTATTGTATTCACATATTGGCATTCACATATAGTTTTAGATGCACAAATAAGGAATCTACATTCAAGGGGTATAAGAAGAAAGTTGACTTAATTTCTGAATACCAACCTTCTTGTCCAAAGTACGTTCTTTTACAAAATCCAACAAATCTTCACTCTGAGACACAATTTCAAAATCTTTTTTTGCAGTTGATACGATGGCTGCCACAACTTCGTACCGGACATTTTCGTCTGAATCGTGTTGTCTTAGTTTCAATGTTTCCACGATATCTTTTCTCAGTTCAGGGTGATTAATCAAAAAGTGCATCGAGTACTGGACACATTTTATTCTAATGGTGACACTGATATCATTGAATCTGAAACAACATATATTTAATTACAAGTTGAAGGCAGAAATATAGTGATAAAAGAAAATCTAGGACAAATGGTGTTACACTTGAAAATGGGCTTGATGACGATGTAGGCTTTTTCTATTGGGTGTAGGCCTATATAAAAATGTATATGAAAACAAGTTTAAAAAAATCACAGACTAAATGTATTTTTTTTAAGTAGAGTGGAATAAAAACTAATATGAGCTTGAAACATCTTTACATTACAGTATTCATGTTATTATATTGCAAAAATAAGTATAGTATAAACAAAATGCAACATAAACCTACCATTTAGTAAAAACAGCATTAACTGCTGCTAAACAAACAGATGGTGTAGGATGCTGAGCAAAAATTCAAATAAGAGATCGACATGATGGAAAACAGGTAAACAGGCCCAACAAAAATATTATAAGTCGGTTAAAAATATTGAAAAACAGGACAACTCTATCAGTAAAATTTGAAACATCAATAATGATGGTGCAAACAAAGACATCAACTAGGGGTCATGTGTACGCGTTAAGTCTACGCAGAGCAACACCAAGTCAACACCTTGTCCTCATTTGAATGGGAGAATGTAAACTTGACCAACCTTCCCAAAAACGCACGCCACAGTTGATGGTGGTTCCTGGCCAGTACGGACTCCTTCTCGCTGAACATACGAGCGAGCAACGCTACAGCTCCCAGCCGCTCTTGCTCCTGGTTGGACTTCAGTTTACACTCGAGCTGCGGCAGCACGGCCAGCAGAACACTCGGACAGATCTTGTTGAGCTCGTATATCAGGTCGTACACTTTGTTGCAGATTGACAAACCTTTCTCCTCCTTGCCCAGAATCAGCACTTGGTTGAAAAACTGTAAGAATACATTTCTTGTGATATTTAAGTGCTTTATGAAAATAAGTTGTAGAGCCAATTATTATTGTATTAATCAGCAGTACTATTGTTTTTTTAGTAAATCATTGTCTCAAGATGTTTTTATTAATGAGGTTAATTGAAAGAAAGTACCATGTGGTCCTAATTCAATCGGTTTCAATGGACGAAGTAGGTTCAGTGTGTCAGTGAACAATCACTTCAGCAAACCCTTTCAACAGAAAGTTTTTCAATAATGTTATTTATGTTTAGGTGTTCCCAAATAAACCAAAAGAAATCAGAACAAGATTCACAGTTGAAACAAACACACACACAGTTGGTATTTTTTATATTAGTGTTGACTTTCTGGATAGGAAGTTATACAATTTTTTCTCAATACAGAACCATCCTTGGATCCTTGTATAGCAAGGACAAATACTAGGTCTGTATTTAATGACAGTTGATGGAATGAAAAATCCAACAGATCAATATCCCAACAATACTAGGTACTTATTTATTTTAGCTGTTTGTAAACATAAATACAAGAAACCTTGGACCGTTTAATTTCTGCAGAACATTAAGCAAAGTTCTTCTCTTTAAATTGTGTACTTTTTAAAGGGTTAAGACTTAGGGTCAAAAATATTTATTTACTGATTGTCTGGTCTATTAACTGGTAGAAAAGGTTTTTGTAGCCTACTTATAGCAAATATGAGACATTTATTAAACCAACATACATATACACATACATATACATTGTTTCCACAAACAAAGAGTTTCTTTAGAAAAGAAACAAAAGTAAAAAAAAAATTATTGAGAACCAAAACTACAACTGTTTTAAATCGAAAATTGAATAATGGACAATAAAATTAACATAGCATCATCGAAGTACTAATATTAGATCACAAAGATGAGGAACTTGGTCAACTAGGCAGTTAGAAGTTATGTATAGGATACTTACGGCGTTGATGTACGGTTCCAAAGTATCACTGCACTTATTGATGAGTTCTTTGGCTAGGTGATAGGCGTTTTTCCGAGATGTTTTGTTAGGCTCGACAATGTTCATCAAAATAATATCCAGCAGTTCATTGCTGACAATATCTGACTCTGTGATCAACGGGACCAAAACATCAAGCATAAAACTCTTCACTTTACTTGAATGTTCATCGCTGAAAACAAAATATTGTTAATGATTTGAGTGGTAGATTGTAATAACACACAGGGTTATTTTTAAATAAATTCAAACCTGGGAGAGAACTGGAGAAATGATTTTCACACACAACTAATTGTAGCAACTAAGTTTAAATATTCCAAAGCTAATTAATAAAAATACTACAGTGAAGTGTTTTGGTGCAGTAATAATATTTGGGCTTTAAATAAAGGATTCCAACAAAGAAGCTCAGGAAAAAACTGCTCATTTTCTTATGACAAATACTTTTTGTATTGGTTCAACTCATGTAAGATAAGATGTTTGATCAAATTTAAATCAGATGTTTTTGTTACAATAATAACTTGAAACACGATAATTGAGGTGGATTAGCTTTGTACGTGGATTAAAAAAGACTACTTACTTGACAATCTTCAGCATCAGTGCAAACAGGTGACAAAATATTTCTTGGCAATCTTCCAAATCAAAGCACATATTAAAAGACTTGACATACGCGAGATTTTCTAACAAATAAAAATATCTCTTGAAGGCTGGATCCTTGGGATCTCTCAAGCCATTTAACTGCTTGATCAGAAACATGAATATCGACTGTAACAGAAGAAACCCAGAATTAGACTTGCACTGTACTAATGAAATGTAACACAACCCATTGTGAAATTATTGCATTAGGTAACATGTAGGTAAAACAACTTGAGAATTCTCGAGAATAAACCAGGCAAAAGTCAAACTAGTAGCCAAGCATGATATTGTTTAGTTACATTTTCATCACTCCGTACAGAAAGTAGCTATTTTTGGTGACAGCTAATATCAAAGAAAATAATTGACTAAAATAACCTTAGGATTGATTGTTGGGATAAAAAATACATTTTGACTCTCCACAAAATAAATATAAGTCAGGTATTCAACCGAGAAATGATTAATAAACATCAGCACACTGTCAGAGGCTCAACTACTTTAATTTTTTTTCTAAAACTGGTTAGGTAGGCCTACAAAACATGAGGTTTATGTCTAGTTCTACCCATTATCTAAAGTAACACTTTGCTACTGGCTCAAGTAATGACAAATACCTTGACTTGTTCAGGATCCTTGTAAGGAGCTTCCGGAGCGTAAACTCGGAGAACGTCAGCTATGCAACACGCTATGAGAAGTTGTACATCTTTACTTTGATGCATCAAAAAGTGTTCCTCAGCTAGATGTAATGCCAGAGGTATATACTGCTGGTACATTCCCTCGTCTTGGCCCATCGCTTGGAGCGTGTGGGCAAGCGTCTGTAAAAGCACAGATCAATTTTCAACCAATCCTTTCCGATAAATTTTTTACCTTGGCACAGTTAGGTATAATAGCACTATCGTTTTGTGTTGTATTGTATTTTGATGTTTTATATGTGTTTTGACAGTAATACGCTTGCAACAAAATAGTCAGCAGCAATTTCTATATTTGTAAGGAAGCATATATAATGGAGCAAATGTGCCATCTCTGGCCAGCATTCAAGAGATATATGTAGCCTACTGCCAAATATTGTGATGTTCGATTGAGTAGGCCTAAGCCAATGTTTAAGGTTAAAAACATAACTCGTACTTAAAAATTAAGTAATACGAGAGTGAATTCTGAATTCCTTGATCCTTCTTAAATCCACATATTAATTAAGTGCTCTACAACATCACATCAACAATAGCAGCTACATAATAAATAAAACTAGGCCTAGTGTTTGTAAAAAAAACTGTTTGTTTACAAAATATGCCGGACTACTAAATGTCAATTACCTTCTAAACAAGCTTATATCTGAATTTTTTTAGCTTTTGATTTTGTTTTATTAATTACTAAAGCAAGTAATTAACAACATCAAACAAGTTTTTGGTGAAGCAAGAGTTATAAAAACACACATAAATTCATAATGTAGGCCTATGTCGTATTTAAGTTTGACTAAGGTCTGACATTTGGTTTACATGGTGCAAAATTTACAAATTCAAAAGACAGTTTTTGAAGCTAAAATACAACACTATTTAACACTCAGATTGTCATAAAAAAAATTCCTAAAACAAGAAAAAAAATATTTGTTTTAAATGAATACGTACGTTTGTTTTTATGAATACAGTACACTCCCTCTTATCCGGACTCCTCGGGACCGAGGCCAGTCCGGATAACGGGTTTTCCGGTTAAACCGACGTCCACAAAAACTTGTTAAAACAGGCCGTTTACTGTGATATTCAACTTAAATTTAGGAGAGCATTGTATTTATTCATGTCATAACTGGTCTCAAATCTTTCCCACGAGAACAGTTGTTTCAGTACCGCCCACTTCCTGCCGATCTAGTGCGGTTAAACCAATGTGCTGATGAAAATTGTCCGGTTAAAGAGATGTCATTTCCGCCGAGTGTAGTCCGGTTAAACAGATGTCCGGTTAAAAGGTGTCCGGATAAGAGGGAGTCTACTGTACGTAGAATGAAACAAAGAAAACTAATGTACTCTGTGCTTTTCAAACAGTTTAACAGATACTTTTCTGTAGAGCTCCAAAATCAAGTTTGTCTACACCTCTTTCCCCAACAGTGGGCTACAACTACCGGTACTATAAGATCCGATGTAAACCAGCTTAGTATTATAGCTAAAGAGATTATGAAATCATTAAATTTGCACATATTTGGAGAGAAGTGACAGTAAGTAAACTATGTGAACTTACCTTAAGACGGCGAATGAGTTCATCTGAACCCAGCTCTTCATTGATGGGCCGACAGCCCTGAGGATAAACTATTTCATGAGGCATTGCGACAATCTGAAAGAAATCAGATGGTTTAATAACATTAAATATAGGAATAAGAATCTACCATACTTTATTTAAACTGTCAAGAAACGTACCTAAGTTATGTGATTTTTTACGTACATAGCCTAAATTAGAAAAATTGTTAAGGAACCTTTTAAAATTTTTTAACTAGGTACTTGACTTAGTCATGAAACGTAGGTCAGTAATAACTGTAGGCCTATTAAATAATGCTATTACAACATCATGATTAATTTTTTTAATACATGTTTGAGAAATCTTGTGTATTTGCAGCCTAGTTTAATCCTAGTGTGATGTTCCTAGTTTAAGTTGTACTATTTGCAATTCTAAGTTTGTTATATACTATTAGAAATATCTAAAACACTGGCATGTGTTTAAGATAGAATCAGAAAAAAACAACAAATTTAATGAGAGCAATTTATCAAGAGAAAGCCTAGCTAACGGTAAGTCCAGAGTGCACGCCGATTCAGATTTTTGGCGGCAGGAATGGCACTTGCATTCAAATGGAAGTGGCCGTAGTGGCTGCTGGTTTCCGAGCCCGCGTGTAGGCACCTGCTTACCGGAATGAATTCTTCATTCTGGTTTCAGATTCTGATTCAGATTTTGCTCGTAAACATACTATTTTGTTTAATAAATTATTTTTTTATAGTAAAATATATTTAATTTATATATTTTTAATATTTAATTTTTTTCATCCTTATTTTTAGGGTTACCTACCACTAAACAGTCTTCAGCATTTTTTTTTATGTAGGTTACACCAGTTTCTTACAATACAATGTCCAAGTTTCGGTGGTTTCGGGCTCCATTCAATGCAATATAGAAAGAACTCTATCATTTCTAGCTACAGGAAAAGAGATAATATCATAAACACCATTTTCACTGGCTGTAAACTTCACAACAGTTTCAGACGCTATAATTTTACACGTTAATTCCTCATCAGACGATTCCATAACAACGACTGACTTGTTTCTTTGCTACCGAGTCAGTACCAGCGGCGTATTTCCTGCTTCCACTGTGGCCACCAACCAAATTTTTTACTCAGATTAACCAAGTACCGAAAATCTGAATCACCTAGCTCGCTTCATTAGGATGCTGGGTATCCGGATTGGTTATGTAACCGATGTACCAATTGAAAAACTTCAGAGGTATCCAACCTCTTCACATAAGACGTAGACTGGCTGATCTTGTGGTGCTGTCTACTGCTCATGTGGACTTCTTCAGCACTTCAGCTCCTGTTTTTAACAGATGTGCCAGTGCCTTTTTAAGCTAGTGGCTGCCTAAGGGCCTCAGTAAAGTTCAGTTTTTTTTGTGGTGCCTTTAAAGGGACACATCTGTGTCCAGTTAGTGTTTCCTGTTTGTTTATTAAGTTTCCTGTTGTGTTTGCGGTTGCTAAATTAATTTATGGCTGTTGTTTTGTATATATTTTGTTACTAGCTGTAAAAGCGGGCTTTGCCCCGTTTTACTACATAAGTGAGCTCTTTTGCATGGCTCAATCACGTCCTGGTTGAAGTTCCTTCGCTACGCTCACTCACCTTTAGGTTAGAGCTCGTTCGCTGCGCTCACTTGCCTTCAGGTTAGCTCGTTCGCTACGCTAACTCGCCTCCAGGTTGAAGTTCGTTTGCTACGCTCACTCACCTTTTGGTTGCAAATTAGCTGTTGTCATAAATAAAAAAAAATAATAGTGCTGCACCCTGTTGGTAATCCTTGTAAGTTTTTAATGCTTTTCCATATCATAGAATCAGCTTTTTAGTTGAAACAGCTGACTAAATTCTTAATTCCCTTTTAATATGAATACTCATAAGGTTAACATGGGGAACTATAGAGCCACTGGGGTGGAGCCCGAAAGGATTTTTGAGATAAGAATATGCCTATATGTTAATCGGGAATGTAAGCTATCAAATTTCAGCAAAATCCGTCCAGTGGTTAATGCGTTTACTTGTCACAAACATACATCCATACATCCAAACTTTCTCATTTATAATATTAGTAGGATAGGATGTATCTTACCATACTTTTGTTAGCCTACTGGTATTGCACTTGTCGTTTCCTTTTTTTCTAGTTGTTGCTATGTATCTCAGTTGCATATTGTTAATTTTTTTTAATGTTTTTACACTTCATATTTTAAACCTGTTGTTAACTACGTGCTTCCTATATTATTTGCTGGTTATGCCTGCTTTTCACATTCATTCACTTATTTATTGCGCATATTTTAGTAGCCCATAGTCCTACCTAATTGTCTGAATAACCTGAATAGCCTGAAGACATATCTTAGTAACCGAAGACAGATGGTTTGCAGTGGGAGTCGGTGGTTCGCAGTTGCCTTAAGCAACTGTGGGGTACCACAAGGCTCAGTCTTGGGCCCTCTGCTATTCTTAATCTCAATAAATGATCTTCCATCCAGTCTCAAATGTAACACACACCTTTATGCTGATGACACAACTTTGCTTACACACAGCAGAGATTTAGGATCTCTTGAGCTTGAGGCAAAAAACTCAGTAAAGGTAGCAGCAGAATGGTTCTCTGCGAATAGTTTTTTGTTAAACAGTGAGAAAACCCAAACTGTTGTCTTTGGACTTCATAAAATTCCTGAAGCACAATGTGACAAGGTCAAAGTTATTAAGTTTTTGGGTGTTTATGTGGATCAACTCCTGTCATGGTCATATCATGTTGAACATCTCTGTACTAGACTAAGTAGATTGACATTTCTTTTCAGAAAACTCAATGATGTTGTTCCTTTTGACTATATAAAAACTGCTTATTTTGCACTTTTCCAATCAGCCCTTAAGTATGGAATAATCTTTTGGGGCAGCAGCCCTTACATCACTGATGTTCTTTTAATACAAAAAAAGGTGATCAGGATCATGGCAAATGCCAATCACAAGGAACACTGCAGACCAATTTTTGTAGATTAAGATTTTGACCGTTGTTAATTTATTTTTATATAACATTTTGTTGAACCTGAAATCCCATACTCTTAGGGGTGATGTTAGTAGGTACTAGGAATAGAGGTAAAATTGACATCCCTTATGTTAGACTTGAAAAAATGAAATCTTAGCCTATTATGAAGTACTGCCGGTCTCAAATGCCTAAATAAACTCCCCAAGGAAATTACTTACTGTTATTAAACAACAAAGCCTTCAAAAATAAAATTCTTCTGTGGCTGACTGTAGGGTGCACCCTTTTTGTGGGCTGGGAGAATTTTTTGAATGTTCAACCAAAGAAATCGTAATCTAGTCACTGCCTTGTTCTAAGTATGGTAGCCTACCTATTTCTTTTTTTTCACTAAATTATATCTTGTACCTATTTTTCTGTAAGTATACCGTAGTGTTCATTGTGCCATCTATTGTCGGGACCACATAAGTTTGCAGTTGAGGGAGGAGCCTATTTACCATAGGCCTATGGTTTTGAATGAACCAATGAGAACCGTGCGGTGTTGCCAAATCTAATAATACCAGCTGATTTGAAAATATTGCTTAGTAAGTTATATTTTATTAGTGTGATGTGGCAACGTTGCACTAGCCTTGTCTTGTGATTGGCTGCCACCAACTGCAAACTTACGTGGTCCCGACTATAAATGACCTTTGTATCTATTTGATTTTTTTTGTATATGCCTTATTTGTTATGTAGGCCTACTGTAATTTATCTTTGACTTGTGTTTTTGCAGCATGTAATCAACTTTATTGACGTACCGTATCCAAATGCATGTAGGCTACAATAAAATAATGATTCTTGATTTTTAATTATGCTATTAAAGTTGGCTTTGATTTGGCCATGAACATCTACTAGTTTGTCCAGATATGGACAGAACATGCTCCTGGCTTGATCTTAAGGAGGCAAATGACAAAGCCATATATGTGGCAGATTATTGGAAAATAATATCTAACTGAGCCGGTGTTTTTTCCGGACACGGAAATGAATGAATGAATTATGCTATGTTTAGCCTATGTATGTTATGCATAAACACTTACACTTTAAGTGATTCAGCCTATGTAGACTAATGTATTTTTTTCCTTTTATACTGGTTAGGGCCTTTGTCTTTTTAATGTTAGGTAAGTTATGCCTGCTTTCTAATTTATTCCTATTAACTTATTGAACATACTTAATTAACTTACCTAATTTTTAGGCCTACCGGTATGCTATGTTTAATATAAAGTGATTTAACTTAATCCTATTTAATGTAAACTTAAGTATATTTAAATGTAAAAATTGTGTTACCGTTGAAAGAATAAATAAATAAATGAATCAGTAATAGGCCTACCGGCGAAGTAGAATATAGGCTAATTAGGCTAAGTTTTAAGTTCAATCAAAGTTGTGCCTGTATTTGCCCTTGTCCGAGTTAGTGTAAGTTAGGTAGGCCTAGCTTAAAAAGTTGGCAGAGGATACACGTCCGGTAACCAGACGTGGATTAGACGTCCGGCAATTACTGTCATAACCTAACCTAACCAACCAAACTTGCTGATAATGAAAAAATCGAATTAAGGTTAAATTCTTTCTCTATAAAAAAATCATAAATGCCAAAAATTCTAATAAAAGATGTACAGTTAAGAATAAATGGTATTCAATGCAAACTCTTCGACAAAAAGTTAGAGTCATCAATGGGATTCGAACCCTGGACCTCTTGCATATCAGCCGAGCACCTTATCCACTACACCACGACCACCGATGGCCGAACATTGTATTGTTGTGGTAAAGGCGTTCCAGGCTCCCGCAACCCCGTGACGTCATTGCCGTACGCCTTATCCACGTCCGGTTACCGGACGCGTATCCTCTATGTAAAAAGTTATTTTGTGCTAGGCCTAAGACAATCAATAATAAAGAACACTTCCAATTAAACTTAAAATGACTTGAATTATTCAATGTTAGCCATAAAATGAAAATAGTTTAGGCCTAATAGGGGATGTTTTACTCACTAGCCTAGGCTATCCTAAGCTTCCTATGGTAGGCTAGCCTAAAGAAAAGTCTAACTTAGTTCAAGTAACTGAACTAAGGGTAGGCTACACAAGGGTAACTTACGGTATAGAAGTAAATTTTTTATACCTAAGTCATTAGAAAGGTACTAATAATATTTATTACCAGCCTTCAAAGATAAATCATCTACTACAGACCTCAATAAATTTTAAACTTTATTTTGTATACCTGCATGTAGTAAAGCAGGGCACTACAACAAGTAACTAGGACATACAGATACAATTGTTACTTACGTCACGAGGAAACAAACTATGAAAACATCAACCGCTTCAAATTTTATCACTTGCGAACATAATTACTTCGTTTACAACGAGAGCATAATGTTATTGTAGCTATATTAATCAAAATATTATTAATTTGCTATAGTAAAGAGACAACGCCGTCCACAGTCCACCTCCACCACAAAAAACCAAACCATTTTACAACATTGCATTGCAACTAGGTTTTATTTATTGGGCAAGGAATGATTGCATTGCATACAGACATGGAGAAAAAGAACTATACTATAATTTGTTTGGTTTCCCATGGTATTAAGTAAAGTGCCATTGAGCACGGATAATATAGATTCTTTAGGAACAATATGTAAATCTTCTATCTGTACACTGCAAATATTTATATATAAAGCCAAAAGTACCCATGAACTTTTGAGAAAACTACAAGTCACACCCCCATAAACCATATACTTAAAATGTTCGTCATTACGGGAAACCTTGCGCAAAACTATCCATCATTTAATAAATTGCCCTTTAAGGTCATAATTTCTTTCTAAAGGGAACTTTCCATATACCTAATGTTAAAAATACCTCAGCTGTACTTATTTGTTTGTATTACTGTATTCTGTTTTGTTTATTTCAGCTTAACTTAGCCAATCGATAATTTTATTAATAATTATGAAGTCAAACGGGGTGAAGCCCGTGGGTAACAGCTAGTTTGGATATAATGAAAAAGATTTCATATAGATATATACTCTTTGTAGAAAAGATTTTTTAGAAAAGTTTTGATCATGGTCTTGTAAAACATAGAGTGTGTGTTGGCATGGCCGCATTTAACTCCAGGCACGGCAACCTTTTTAGGCAGCCATGCTCCAGCACCTCCAGGCCGCTGCATGTAGTTAAAGGTGACCGTGGTAAGTATGGTGAGTGTGGTGTGAGTGTATACTATTTTTTATATTCTTTTTGTCAGCTGTAAAATACGTTTCTTCAACAAAAACAATACAAGTTAAAACTAATGCTTAGGTGGATCAAAGAGCAAAGCCCACACAATCAAAGTTCACCCCGCCCTAAAAATAAGACAAGCACATAGCCACAGCTACCTTTAACTCCAGACCGCGGGCAGGTAGAATTGGCATCGTTGCAAATAGGGCTGTTTAGTGTTAGACATCCCATAAGAGAACATGGCAGACATGTGACATCAGCTCATTAATTCTCATTTTATTGATTTAAATTTAAATTTATGAACATAAATTTATTAAAATATAAAAAAAACATACGGAATTAAAAAATAAAACAATAATATGAATTGAAAATCTATTCCGTACATTTAAAGCGGAATCAATATCTTCATAGCCCAGTAACCAAGCTTTCGTAAATACACAAATACCATTAGCTGCTTCCAAACAAAACAGCTGCTGTTACAACCCTACTTGCGACGTTGCCACTTCGAAGACCACGGCCTGGAGTTAAAGGCGGCCGTGACATAGCGCAATAACACGCTACCGGAAACTCAAACAAAAATCAGATCACTTATAACAAAACTATAAGGGAGTATTTTAAATCATAAACTATACATATCCTCTCACATAATTCATATTAATATTTTTTGTGGTTAAACTTCATGTCACAGAAAGGGGTTTATTGTCCCAACATTGACACATTAGCACCATAATAAATAAAAAAATATATTTTAATTTAAGTCAATGGCAATAATATAGCTTGGGCCTGTCTGGAGGGGTTCGTATGTGTTATTGTCTGAAAGTTTTGTTGTAATTTGTAATAAAAAACCTCAACGAACCTTTCATAGTTCGCTAGCTTAGTAACGACTCTGTTACTAAGCAGAGTAGAGCAATTAATGTTTTTGGTACTGTACAGTAATACATTGAAATACATTCAACTTATTTGGCCATATATCACTCTCAATTTGGTTGTGCATAATAGAATTCGTTAGGTTAAAAAATATGTTCATAATTCTTTATTAAAGAAGTGATACTCAGCCCATGATTTTTAATCACTCTGTCACATGATTACAGGACCACCGTGAGGGGGCCTGGGGGGGCAAATGTCCAGGGGCACGGGCCCTAGGTTGGACAATTTTTAGTGTAAAACTGGCCCCAGTTACTTTTTGCCTTGGGGCTATAAAAATTATTACCTTGTGAATTAACAAGTCCAAAGTTAAGATTAACATACCCCGTCAAAAACGTAACAAACACCATACTGACGTTATAATTTATGATAGACAAAATTAGAGCTTATGCTATTTATATTTGATTTTTGGATAGATAAATGCGGCATTAGAATTATTTCTAAAATAAGAGCATTACGCCCCTAGTACAAAAAAATTGCATTTAGTCTGGCCACTGCCGCCGCACAAACTTGCAGGGAGCCGCGCCCCACGGGCAGGGTGAGGGGTCAAAGACAGATTATACATGGAATTGTCTTCGTTCATTCTCATACGCGACTTAGGAGCGTACTCGTCTATGTTGTACATGGTTGTACCAATACAATATGAGTTATAACAGTTTTAGATTTAATGAACATTCAGCACAACAACACTGGTAACAAGTTAAAAAATAGTAATAATGGTAATAACAATAAATTAATTATTAATAACAGTGAAAGACAATCAACATGGAACCAGCAGCCGATGTTTTTTTTAGAGATAACAGTTAAATGTTTAAAATACCCCCGCCGCAGCAAACCTGCTGACTAAGCGAATTTCCATTTGTCTTAATTGGTTTTCAATTAAACTTATTTGCATAACATTAGGTTTAAGTAGGTTTGCTGCTACAAGGAAACTAATAAAGTGTATTTTTAGTAAGATATTAATAGCTTAGTATAAAATAAATAAATTTGGCAAATCTGATCAAAACATATCCATGAACAAGCAAAACATTTTCAATAATTATTTTCCATAAGAGTAGCATTATGGGAATTTTAAATTAACAATTTGTTGAATTTTCTCCGTTACCAATAACCGTACAAAAACACTTTGATATTCTAAATTATTTGTTTTTAAGCTCTTTAAAAAGGTCTGGAGAGAAATTAGGAAAATTTGTGTTTTGAGGGCCAAAAAACAGGAAACCCATTTTTACCCCTTAAAACACAGTAAAACCCCGTTCCCATGGTCCGATCATGCTGGTTCGCGAACTGAACCACGCGTTCACGGACGTATATATATAACAATTTGAACGAATGGTCTTTTTGGCCTCTTGTTGGGTACAAACAAGGTTCAAATTGGGTACAATAACATTTCAAATGACTAGTCAATAATATGATTTTTTACAGCTAATTTAGTGTAACATTAATTTTTATTTGGCTAGAGATTTGACATTGTTGGCCAGCCTGGAGTTCCGGTTTCCGTTGTATTCCTTGACAAACTAAACAAAAACAAAACACCGATGTCGGATGTTGATGTAAAGTAAACAAAAATAATTTAGCTAGCTGTCAACAGTGTAAACCATTGCAAAAATTACCCACAGTTAGACGGTGAAAAAAAGATTGATTGAAGGCTTTGTGAATGTGAAGTAACTTAGTTAGGTTTTTAAACGTGTTATCCTTATTTTGTTATTTTATAATTAATTGATGTCCATAATTTTGTAAACACATTCGTCTAAGTTTGATGAAGCATTTCAATTTTCAGAAAGCCCAATTTATATTTTGTATTAGCATATGAATCTATCCAAAAAGCTCATGTCTAAACCAAAAGGAAAAGAGGAAAAAAATAATGATTCTTTACATCGATTACAACCTCAAAGAAATAAAAACATTTGTGACAACTCTGACTTGATAGAATTTTTAAATGATGATCTAATATCAAAACCTGCCAAAGCAGACTGTGGAAGGTTGGTGTAAGTAGGCTAGGACCAGACATATGCTTAGTTAGCTTACAGAAAGCCTAACTTCTATGTGAAGTTTGCTATTGCTACACCTTGCTATTATTGCTATTACTACCTGTTTAAAGTATTAACTTACCGTACTTTAAACAGGAGCTCCAACCTATGTTTTTATGTGTTCATGGGTGCAGCTTTGTTTCTAGGCCTACCTCTCAATCTTACCTTATATAATTACAATGCTTTAACTTGACTCTAAGAAACTTAGGCAATAAGTTCAGCCTTAGATGAACCATCATGATTGTCTTTGTAAATTGGCTGCTGCCGTTGGAAATAAAATAAAATAGAAGTTATGTTGTTGGTTTGGTCTAGGACATGGTTTTAATTATGGGTTTGATCAGGACAAATTCCAAATTTTCGAGTTCTCTATCAATTAATTTCAAAAGCTAATATCGATCAATATCGTAGGCCTATCTGCTAAACTGAAAGGTTGTTTCTTAATGGATCTAATATCACTTAGGTTAACAAACTCATATAACTTACTGTTCAATTTTTGGCAAAACTTTGGTACCGGTATCCGATTCCTTCGTATTATCAATTGTTAGACCTACAATTAATACAGAGAGTTAAGTTAACTTATTGGCTATTGGATAGATTTGTTTGTTTACCAATTAATGAATTGGTACTTGTACCTATTGCTCAATAAATCCAACAGAGCCTGATATCAAAGTTTCGCCCAGTTTATATTAGTCTATTAACTTTGGGCCTAAATTAAGTTAGTTTGTATATTCTGGCCTAAAAACTTTTTCTGTTTTAATATAACTTACCAGTATCTAACTTATAACTTAAGGTGAGGCATTAACTTATCAGGATGTTTAGGGTAGGCCTAAATAGAGCCTACTGGGGGAACTAGGGATCTTCCTAAGAAAAACTGTAAAAAAGTTGTGTAAAATTGATATAGGTATATATTTTTTTCTTTTTGCCCTCCTTTGGTATTAGCTTAAGTTATTTGGTATAACTGGACCAAGGTTGTAGCCTTACATTCTAAAAACTATAAGTTAGGCCTACTATACTTGACATCTTGGGATTGGTTTTCAGACGGCTGTCAACTGCTCTATCCTGCAACGTTCCTCACAAAAACACTTTTGAAGTTAGAAGAGCAGCGTCTAGAAATAAATTACCAAAGGAGCTGGCAGTGAGTCAAATTAATCAAAAAAATGCAATAACTAAGTTATTATACAGTACTTAAGCTTAGTTATTTATAAACTTAGCCTAAGTTAGTTTTTTAGTAAATTAATTTGTCATTTTTTCTTCTGTTGGTATTTAACCCTTTGAGTGCCAACG